TAACCCGTTGAATATCGGTTTGTGAGACAATACTTTGACTGTTTTTATGCAACCATGCGCAAAAGGTGTGCTTCCTTGGTGAGCAGGGTGCGGGCCAGCTCCAACAGTATCCTGAACATGGTTGCAAGCAGGCTGGACTGCATATACATGGGACGATGTAATGCCATTTCCCATGGATTAATGTAGGATGTATCTGACAAAAAGAAAAAAAAAACAGTTGTGACTACTAACATAGATGTAAGTTTTACTAAAATTTTGTGAGTCCTGGTTACTTTGAAATAAATGATTTATTATATATTATAATAGAAAATACAATGTGTCTCGCGTGGATCCGACGTTTAAAACATACGAAAGGTTAATCATCCATCTGTCATCCAGCATTTGTTTAAGTGTAGGAGAGCCATGCTTTGGCACGAATGAGCCGGCTTGACTGGAGTGACACTATGATACCAAGGCCTCACAGAAAACCGACGTGAAACAACATTTACGTTGTGAGTGAGAATACAATTACAAGACGTCCCATCTCTCCTTCTCTTTTTTCTCAAATTCCCTATCCCGGCAACGCACTTTTAGTAACTCCTTTGGTATTACGAGTGTCCATGGGCGGCGCCGATTGCTTACCACCAGGTTTTTTTTTTTAATGGTATAAGTCGGCAAACGAGCAGACCGTTTACCTGATGGTAAGCAATCAGCGCCGCCCATGGACACCCGCAACACCAAAGGAGTTACGAGTGCGTTGCCGGCCTTTTGGGGATAAGGGTTGCGGATGTAAGGATCGGGAAGGGATAGGGGAAGGGACGGGATTGGGGCTCCGGTAACCTCACTCACACGGCGAAACACAACACTTTGGGTTGTTTCACGCCGGTATGCTGTGGGGCCGTGGTATCACTCCGGTCGAGCCGACCCATTCGTGCCGAAGCTTGGCTCTCCCACACTTGAATCCGTATGTACTTTTGCCGACATATCCCATAAAAAAATATAGTCCAGTATTAGAAAATATAGCTCCCTTCATGCTATACGTCCACTTTAATCGATTTTGAGTAAAAGCATATTTGGATTAAGATTTTTTAGGTACCTGCTTATTCCTACAGATTCAGTGGCTAACTATATTGCCCATCGTCTATGTTCAAGCTCCACCTTAGTATCGAAATTATACGAATCACAACCTTATATTTGCCGTTATTTAATCTCCTAATTTTGCTATACCCGACATCTCTACATTTTGTTATAACATCACATCACATAACATCATCAGCCTATAAATGCCCACTCCTGACCTGAACAAAGGCCTATTCTCACACGGAGAAGACTTGAGGACCTATTAATCACTTTTTGTTATACCACCATTAAAATACATTCTTTTGGTGAGGGGAAAATCATCAAATGACTTCTCCCGCTCAGGGCCGGGCGGGAGGGAGTGTCAGAGTCTTACTGACTAAAAACCCCCCTGTTCCTTCTCTTGCTCCGGGCCGAGGTCAACCCACCATTAAATTACTTGTAATGCAATAAATGACTAAGTACCTATTGAGTCATATAGTAAAATTTCTACCTTATTTCTTGAACGCTCTCGAGACTCAAACTTTAGACTTTCACAACTTTAGTTGCCTAACTATATATCTACTTTCATTTTGAAAGTAACATCATTCACAATCTATTTTTTGAGCAAAGACCTCTTCTAGCTTGCTCAAGGCTGACTTCAAACTTAAAATTAATAATAAAATTATAGGTCCTAAGTCCAGTTTCCTTGCGATGGTTCCTTGGTCGTACGTCAGTGGTGAAAAAGTACATAAAAACATTGCTGAATTTTGAACCATGGGAAAAAGGCGCCTTAATCTCCGGCCTCCGGGCCACCACGGGCACTGTAATTTTCCTTCACAACTGGAAAGTCTCTACTGCGGTGCGCTGCGTAAGTAGGAAGGTAAAAGTACATAGAGCTTTCAACAATTAACGTGTTTATACACATTTTACATATAAGTAAGTAACGAACTAGTTAAGTACCTAGGTACGTAGGTACTTACGGAAAGTCCTATCTTCCTTAGTGCATATGCACCGAGCGTGTAAACGTAGCTTCGAATGCGTTTTGAATATCGACCGCGGCAAGAGAACAAGAAACACGAAGGGAGGCACGATGCAATTACTTTCAACCGTTCCTATTCTTTTACAGTAAGTAAAAGATATAAGTACCTATATACCGACCTAAGTTATTGATAATAGGTACCTACTCTCTATTTGAGATTTCTTCTTCCTAAATCTTAATAATCTTATTTTTAAAGGATATTATGGTAAATGTTGTATCCATAACTATAAAGAACTCCTCACTTTCATGTTGTCCCTTATTACTTATCTATGTAAGTTATCTTCCATTGTCATTCATCCAACCGACATGATAGACATCTCTTAAGTAGTTACCTAAATCCTAGACCCTTATCTTTAGGTAGGTATTAATAAACTTTCTTAACACCGCCTCAGCATTCATCGTAACAAACGGAATGGAATGGCCAACGTAGTTGAGCGATCATAACAAAATACTAAACTGTAATCACAAGCTACAAAATATATAATGTTATGATGACCCCAAGATAGCTCACAAATCGAGGTCAAACTACTGACAAATTCTGGAAACTATCTCTGGACATTTAACATTATAATAGGTAGGTACCTAAGCGGCTACATCTTTATTCTATGAAAATCAACCCAAACTTCATTAGCACGGATCAAAAGATCACCGTGGAATTCTTTAATTAAGCGATATCTATGTTTATTATGAAATCTTAAAAATTAAGTGAGTTATTATTTGCAGCGAGATATAGGTACCTACCTACTTAATGAATAAGATGTAATGTTTGTGTGGTTGAGTGATAACCCCCACTCGACCTCGGCCATTGAAACTGATAGCACGCTGAGGGCGAACGGGAAACTGTACGAGTGTCTAGTTGTCTGAAAAATGGTGAAAGGTGTCGTACCTACAAATTCAATGTAAAGTAATTAAGTTAGTTTATAATGGAACGGATAATGTGCCTACCTAGTTTTACGAGACGTAATAAGGCCTATCAGAAGGCAGAACAAAAACAGTAATAAAAAGTTAAATTAATCTACCAGGTTTTTAAAGAACAATCCAAATTAGGTTATACCTACCTACATAGTAAAATAGTTTGCTTATGGGTACGCATGCTCCAGCTCCATCATAGGTCACATCATAGCTTACCACCACCAGCCGTTATATCGGCCAAAATGCCTACCCATTACGAAATAAAAACAATTTTAGATACGTGTCTTACCAGGTAGATATCACATCCTTTTGGGGGGCAGGTATCATCAAACACGATATGGACGTTACTACCACCAAAATTGATACCTAACTCTTAATTATCTCCTACAAGTCAGGAAAGCCGGGAAAGTAAATAAGTAATCTATTCAAATCATCCAACACAATATTACACGCGCCATTAAACCCCGGCACCCAAACATTCCAGTAGTAAATTACAGTGACTCAGTGTAATTCAGTCCATAGTCCGTCAGTCCGACATATAGTAAATATTCCATTCTAGACGTATCGCCAATATCTTGGCGCGGCATTCAACTATGGCATGAACATTGGATCGTTGCACGTGCTCGTCACGCTACAAACAAGCCATCCAGCTTCATTGATCCTCTTATGCAATGTTTCAGGCAGAAGTCGAAGGTTTATTTTAAAAAAAAAACGTTGCCCCACACTAGGATTTTCTCTTATATCGTGTCGCGGGTGCGGTTACAAACATACAATTTCACATACACAAGACACCCAGACCCGAAACAACTATTTGTAAATCACACAGAGTTGTTCCGTGCGGGAATCTAACCCGCGACACGTTGCACAGCAGCCAGTTGCCCAACCATCCGCACCACTTCTGCGCACAGTTCTGCGTTTCGCTGTAGTAGTGGGCGAGCCATGCTTGGGCACGAATGGGCCGGCTCGTCAAGAGTACTCAAAAAAACCGGTGTGAAACAACTAGTGTGGTGTTTCGCTATGTAAATGAGGTGAATGGAAGCCTAATCCGTACCCTCCCCATTTCTCCTCAATCCCCAAAAAGCCTGACAGAGCACTTGCAACTGCTATGTCTGCTGGTGTTCATCTGCGGCGCTGATTGCTTACCATGAGGTAATATGCTTGGTAGTTCGCCGCCGTCTCATATAAATAAAAATTACAAATTCAGTGTCAAAATTAGAATAGCCAGACAGTGTTTTAGTACTTTGCATCGGAAGTCGCAGACAAAACTTCTTGACAAAACATACGTTACCAACCAATGATGTATAAAACTATAGATACGTTGTCCGCGCTCTAAAATGACCACATGAAATGAAGGCAATTGACAACATCGCGCTTAGTTACGCACCAACCTGCCACGCGACGCTACGTTTGTTTTTAATTTATATCGTGTGTGTAAACCTGTGCGAAACATAAAGAAAGCATGTCGTTGTGTATGTTCAGACGATGTACAAATTATACTCCAAAAGTTAAAGACAAAAATGTGTCATTTCATGCGTAAGTTCACCAAACAACCTATTTTTATTTTATTTTTTTCGACGCCGGCGCCCGCCATCTTATGGCGGCCGGCACATGAGTCACGTGCCGTCGGCATAACTGAAGATGTATATTTATCTCCCTCTAGCAAAGGCATTCCACTATACGATGTCATATTTTCTTTCCCTTTCTTTACTCGTAGAAGTAGTTATCTAGTATTTTCGCCGTTTTTAAGCGCCGCGATGTTGGTTCATGACGTGTCTATATATAATACGTCATTGTTACCAACGTCTCCTAAATAATGGAGCCGAGCGATGCTCAAATGCTATATAAATAACACGCCTTTTGATGAAGACTTAGTATACACATATTAAATTCCAAACAATTTATTAAGACAATATACATAAGCAAATGAATTTTAAATACAAGCATGCCTACTCTCAAATACTAATGAAAGTATAAGAAATAAAACGACGAAAATTGCTTAAAAATAATAAACATTTATTTAATTTTTTAACTTAAAACCATTTACATTTGCATTGAGACCTATATTATTTTGCTCGAATAATTTACCAAAGAGTGAACTGTACAATTCATTTTTACTTTCATCTGTCCAAGACACTGATTTCTCTGGTGCCATGAAATTCACCAGCTGATTATGAACCACATACTTTATCTTTCTTCCTTTAGATGCTTTTGTGTCTACTTTTCTTTTCATTTTACTCCTCATTTGTTGTAACGCGATCCATTGACGACTCAACTGTACAGGGTCCGAAATGTCCGCAGACTTACACTCAATTAACTCTCTAAGCAACTGATGGTAAAAATCACTATCATCAAAAATTTCTGGGATGTATTCATCATTGTCTTTACGGTCTCTTGTTACTGGATTGACTTCAGTCTCATTTCCATTTTGGTTTTCGTCTTCTGGAAGTGGCTTTTTATAGCCTACAATGTCGTACTCAGATCGTTTCAGCTGTGTGCGTCTCACCAATTTTTCCCTATCAGAAAGAATGTAAGATATCTGTTGCAAGACAGTATTTGTTGGTGTATTTTTAATGTTTGTTGCTGTTGCCAGACGAGTTTTGTCATTCCATTTTTGTATTGATGTGTCCCTAAATGTTTTGAATGCTTTGTGGGAATTTGAAATATCTGATTCGTAATCTTCAAGTTTACGTTTCTTGACTGGTGCGGATTTGTTAGCTTTGTTTTTAGGTGTTTGGACTTCTTTGACATTTTCTTCTTCTGCATCAGTGTCTGATGGGATTTCTTCATTATCTGTGTCACTTGGTATTTCTTCATCACTATCCTCATTGGCTGTTTGTTTTGTCTCTGGCTGTTGCTTGCTGAGTTTTTTATTGCAAATAGCCTTTGTTTCTGGATATTTACTAAGTAGTAAATTCTGAAGAGATAATAATCTGAAAATAATAAACAACAATGTTAGATTAATAGGTGTTTGTGTGCAAGAATAAATGCTAAATTGAATTTAACTAGCAGATTTTAAGAAATTGTACCTTTGCAAAGTATGTAACTTAAAAAATCATGCACATCTTTATTATATATAAAAATTAATGGCAAAATGTGTTGATAAGTGCATAACTCAATAACACCTTTACCAATTTTGCCAATACTTTTTTTGTTATGTCTGTGATTGTCAGAAGGATCTTAGGAAAAAAAATTTGAATAGTAGACATTATAGGTGGTAAATAAGGACCCTTTCGTTGTCCCATACCTGTGTGAATGTGCGAAGTGCTAGTTATTAAATAAATCTAACTTACTTGTCCAATACATTGGATATATTTGTTTTAGTAGCATTAGTCTCCTCAGCAAAATCTTTTATTTCTTTTAAATTACTATAGGTATCAGGCATGGGCATCTGATTCGCAGTATTTACACATCGCTGAAGGTGTATCCTCATCTCCAGCAAGTTTTCCCAGAGCAACAACTGGTTCCGGACACAAATACCCTTCTTAGCTTCTTCGGTAATGTTTTGCTTTTTAACATGTTCAAATTCTTCTTTCAATGGTTCCTCCATTTGACTGATGTCAAACCCTTCTCCTTCATCACCGTCGTCTTCATCATCATCACTGCCTTCCTCAGCGTCACTACCACCTTCCTCGTCCTCGGAATCATCATTCAATTGTTTCTTGAACTGCATAATGCTGTAATCATCACTCTCACCTTCTGATTCAGAATCATCGAAATCTGATTCCTGCGACTTATTTGCCATTGACTTAGATAACTCATTTTCCGAATCTGATGCGTCAGAATCTATTGCAGCATCTTGTTTGTTCTTCTGGGGTGGTTTTTGATACGACTCTTCATCATCAAAACTACTGTCGTCGTCACCGGATTCTTCAAGGTCTTTTCGTGACACAACTTGCCCTTCATATTTTTTACTAAACTCGCTCAGTAAGCCAACGTTCCTTTTACGAAAATCACTGATAGCTGCCTCGACTTCGCTGTCTGAAGAACCGAAATCACCACGCGTAACAGTTTTAGGTTTTGTACCAAAAACTTGATCATCTTCTATGTCAGCACGTGGTTTGACCGTAAGGGCGTCTGCTATTTTGTCAGATAATAACTTTTGCGGTGTTTTTTTCTGTTTTGGCTTCATTGTAGTATAATTTTTGGCTAATTTTAACCTACAAATGCACAAATACTTTCACGTGTTTATGACAGCAAAACTGTGTTTGACAAATGAATGAAAATTGTCAAAATGACAGTACACAAACTGTTTACAAATACTGCTAACCATAGAATGTGTGCAGCACACTTTACATATAAACATAGAAATAAAACTAATTTAAATGTGTGTATAGAAATTATTTCAGTATGTCATTTAAATTTATTTATGATTTATATGCATCATAATATTACAAAAAATTATAATAAGCAATTATAGTAGCTAGCCTTGAAAAGTAAACAAATACGATCATTTTCACGATCATGATTTTTGGTAAAATCTAAATCTCAAAGTGCATAACAGTGCACTTTAATATGTAATTTGGGGCTGGGGATTTATATTATTAATGTAAATATTACTCCAATTACACTTACGCTGTACTACTTCCAAAAGCAATTTCCGACATTAATTAATTACTCATTTGTTAGCGGCATTACGTTTCATTTCGCTTTGCAGATTATTTACAAGTGTCAAACTGACATCGTTTGAGCTGGCGCGAAAACAGTTTGCACAGTAGTCAGTTCAACGATATTTTTCTCGTTAACAGTTGGTATTTTAAAAAGTAAACAGACTGTCGCTACAATCTCTAAAATGCCTAGGAAAAGAGTAATTCCAAAAACTGTAACGTGGTTGAGTGAAGAAATACATGAACCTCAAAGTTTAACGCCTACATTTCATCATTACACGTAAGTTAACCTGTAAATAATAAATTAATTATATATTTAAGATTTATTCAATATCTGTTACTTTTACACAGGAAATTTCAGTTTGAGAACATTATTGGAGAGATTGGTGACTATGTGCTTATATCGAATGCTGATGCTGCTGAACCAGACACAGAAGCCGGTTGCGATGCAGCACGTATTCTCTCTTTGTATGAAGATCGTAGTAACTCTACTGACCCGTTCAGAGCTAAAGTTCAATGGTACTCGAGGCCTGCGGATCTGCCCAACTGGTGCTTTAGTCATATGGAACCTATTAGTTTTCATGAAAAAGAGGTAAAATTCTTAAATTTTTAATTTAGTACCTAATTATAAATTAATGCACCCTATATGATACCCACTGACCAAAGCCTTCCAATAATATTTGCAACTTGTTTGTATTGTTAACATTAAGTTTTAATCTTTTAAAAGAACTGATTATATATTTTTCAAACCATACCTATAATTTCAGGTGATAGAAGACCATCGCCCCTTCAATCAGGATGTGTCAATAGAAACTTTCTTTAAGAAATGCTCCATCACTCTCACATTCACTAAAGACATGGATGAAACTATCACAGAGCCCTACCATTACATATGCAGATACCGACTTATGGCCATGAGCAGAAGGAAAGTACAAATTGAACCTGTTCTAGAACATGAGAGGAAAGCCTTGGCCTTACTCAGCACACCTAATAAAACTCCATCAAAAACTGTGACTCCTAAAACACCAACCAGTTTGGTGAAAAGAATGAGCAGAGTATCTATCTCAGAGAAGAATTGGAGTGTCACTAAAAATGATGGAACAAAGCTACTCCTCAAAAGAGCTATACTGGCTGACAAAAACGAAAAGGACTCACCGAAAAAAAATACACCTAAAGCAACTCCTAAAAAGTCCACAGCAACACCAAAAAGTTCTAAAAAGCTCACCAATAGCAACATAGAGGATGTTTTATCTATGGAATTAAAAGAAAATTCTGATGATGAGATTCCAACACTGATCATAAGGCAGCATGTACCAACTACACCTAAAAGAAAACAGTCTATATCCACATTAACCAATGAAGAGACTCCTAAAAAGGTTTTAGTGTTTGAAGATGAAGACATGAGGACTCCAACTAGATCAAGCAGAATAAAGACAAATGTTAATTATCAAGAGCCTGAAGAGTCTCCTAAGAAAAGAACTCCAAGAAAATTAATTCGTAAAACATCGGAGAGTGATGATGACTTTAGGCCAGCTCCTAGGACTCCTAAAACACCAAAAACTCCAAGAACACCTAGAAACAAAACTCCAGCACAGACCCCTAAACGCAGTGTGACCAAAAGAATTCTGACTAGTCAACTTACACCAACTTTGCATAACAGAGCTCATTCAATAGACAACATTGATGGTAAGAGCTGTTTATTTTCTTGTAGTGAACTTCAAGATTGTAGTTTCTTAAATATGTAAATTACATTTTTTTTTTTCTTTTACAGAGTTTCTCAAACAAAACAAGTCTTTACCAGGTAGAGAGGGACAAATGGAAGAAATACTGTCATTTGTTAAAACAAAACTGCTAGATGGAACAAGTGGGTAAGTGTTGTGTATGCTACAGAACCAAACACATTTATTATTAAGAAATGATACCTCATAATTATTCTCCTTGTGAGAAATTAAAAACAAAGAAAATGGAAGAGATCTTCCTCTCAACCGATCAAATGCATGAATTCAAACCCTATATTCTTGTCTCTTTCAGATGTATGTACATATCAGGAGTGCCAGGCACAGGAAAGACTGCAACAGTGTCATCAGCACTGAAATACTTGAAGGAAGAAGTGGATCTACCAGACTTCCAACTAGTTGAAGTAAATGGCATGAGGATAGCAGAGCCTAGACAGGCATATGTACAGATATACAAACAACTTACTGGTAAGATTTACTTTTATTTTGAAAAGCTGAAAAATAGGTCCAATTATTATATGAACGTCAGGACATCCAATGCCTAACATGGACCACCCCAAATAGCTTCAAGATTGGCCAGTTACCGAAGGTGATGGGAAAGCATGCATTACACCAATCAATTAAAACAATTAATATAATTTATCAAATATCCAAATTAACTAAAAATCGCGGGTTACTCACGTGTATATATTGAGAAAAGCTCTACTAGTTTCGAACCACAGAGGGGTTCTTCCTCATGAGCAGCGTGCGGGAACGCGGCGACGTCGCGCAGCCTACTGATCAAATATCCAAATCGTAGCATAATTGTAATTGCCATAATAATTTTCATTTCCAGGTAAATCTGTTGTATGGGAGCAGGCTTGTTCACTATTAGAAAAGAGGTTCACCAATCCAGGACCTCGGAGAACACCAACTGTTCTGTTGGTTGATGAGGTAAGCAATATAAAACTAAACACTAGTATCATAGTTTATTTTAATCCATTTGTCCTATTATGGTTTGGTTTGTATGATTATTTTTATAAATATCTGAGCATGAAGAATTGTCACAACTGTTTGACCACAATAAATCCTATAATCATTTATCTTTCATAATACATCTATATGTAACTTTCAGCTAGACGCCTTATGCACCCGTCGCCAAGACGTGCTGTACAGTATAATGGAGTGGGCCGCACACAACACCGCGCTGCTAACAGTATTAGCTGTCGCCAACACGATGGACTTGCCCGAGCGAGCGCTGGCGGCACGTGTGGCCTCCCGCCTCGGTCTAACGCGCCTCACCTTCCCGCCCTACACACATACGCAGCTGCAGAATATAGTGGCTACGAGGCTCTCTGGTGCTAATGTCACTGCAGATGCTGTACAACTTATTGCAAGGTAAATACAACAATTTTCAACTGGCGGCTCAAAAAATTGGTGTACAAAATACGGATATATGTGTATAAAATCGCACTTATGTATTTACTATCTTCCGCCCGCGACTAATTGCTAACTACTTATATTGTGTTCACACAGGAAAGTGGCAGCAGTATCAGGCGATGCTCGACGCGCACTGGCTCTATGTTCACGTGCGTTAGAACTGGCTGGTCCAGAAGGCGCAGGACTCAAGGAAGTGCAACAAGCACTTGGTGAAGCTGCCTCCAGTGCTGCTGTGAGAGCGATAAGAAACTGTTCGCCTGCAGAGAGACTTATGCTCAGGGCTGTGGCTGCTGAGGTAAGATTTACTTGTTTGATTCTCATCAAATAATAACCAAAAAAATTATTCTAGGATAGGCTATATTCATTATGATAACTTTATGTATTTGTTAAAATTCAATATTCACACTTGAAATATACAATGTATTTATTTCATTACACAGGTGGAAAGAACTGGTTCAGATGAAACAACTCTATCCCGTGCGCTTCAAACTGCGGCTGCTATAGTCGCCCTCGACGGCCGGCCATACAAATCCGCGCCCTCTATTCGTGCCCCCACGCCTTCGCAAGCGCAAGCAATATGCGCAAGGCTGGCTGCACTACGGCTATTGTTACTTGAACCAAAACCAGCCGAACCACGTCTCCTATTGAATATTAGTGCTGACGAAGTACATTACGCTACAAAGCAAATTGTTGTATGATGAACTTGAGTTCTTTGATATAGTTATTTGAGGAATATCTACCTGTTAAAGTATCAATTTGTGTTGTATAAAGAGCATTCTACATAACTTGCTTTTGTCTACAGATATAACTATTAATATTAAAGGCTCAACTTATTGTACAAAATGATGGATTCAATATAAAAAAGTTCATAATTTTTGAAAGTACAACTCTATGATATAATATTTGACATTGATTTAATTTGATGTTTGAAATGACTGATAGTGTAAGTTTTATTTATTGTGATAAATCAAATAAACTGTTGTAATACTGATTGAATTATGTTATCATTGAATCTCCAACTTGTATGATCTTGATTAACGCCTCTATGTTGTTAGCCTGTACTGCCTTTCTACTTGCTGCTACAACTGCCTTGCTGTATTTACCCACTGTAAAAATATAAAGCAATTAATATGTTGGAAAATAAATACCATCATTAGCACCGATTTGTTAATATTTACCAAGGAAGGAGCAACACAGCCTTGTTATGAATTATATTAAAAATTGAAAGGATCTAACGCCATACTTATATGTATACTAAATATTCTCCTAAAACTAAGAAAATCTCAGTAACTTTAACCTAAACCTAATAAAGACCATACTCCTTAAAAGACCGGAAAGCACTTGTGACTCCTCGTGTTCCGGGTATCCAAAGGATCGCTTACTAGGGTTAGGAGATCCATAGCCTCATTAAATAATTAAAGTAACTCGAAAAATGGCCTATCAACGAGTAGGGCATTTAAAAAACGTTTGCCCCCTACCTCTGAGTCTCACAGCTTGTTGCAGAATAGTATGCAAACTCTTCAGCGAAGTAACAGCTTGCTCCTGAGTAGAGCGCCTAATGTAGCATCCTGTCAGGAGTTCCTCATTCAACATTACTACTTCCTTGTACCGATTCAACATCTCTCTCCTAAAAAAAGTTTACAGAATTTGTGTAAAATCAATCGAAACTACTAAATTTTTTCATTATTTAGATAATACTAAAAAGTCAAATGTGGGTCGATTACCAAATATAGGTAATTGTAAAGAAAATACTAACAAATCATAAGCGGCTGCATCTTGAGCTGCTGGTAATAAGGCAGTAATTAGTTGAGCGCGTTCTGCAGTTTCAGCAGCTAACCGCGATCTCATCTCACCTATTTGAGATACGTGTTCCATTTCTTCACGAAGTTTTTTTTCAGGTTCGGGAAATTGTGCCACAGACTGAAAAAACATAGTGATCATTTAAAAAATTCCGCCATTGCTTGTCTTTTATACTGTGACAGAAAACACGAAATTAGTCGATTATCAGTGTCACCTCTCTATCGATTAGTCAGAAATGGCGCCGCGTCAGTTATCTGCCGGCGTGGGGGAGTTGTCAAAGTTGTTGAGCTGTTGAAACCGGGTGTAGGAAAATAACTCGTGAAAAACAAATAAAAATGGTTGAAAATAACGACATTGAATTGTCCGAAGCGGAAGCGGAACAATACGACCGTCAAATCCGCTTATGGGGCTTGGAATCTCAAAAAAGGTTACGTGCGTCGAAAGTTTTAATTATCGGGATAGCGGGTCTTGGTGCTGAGATAGCGAAGAATGTTATTCTATCCGGTGTTAAAAGTGTATGCTTATTAGACAACGAGAAATTGAAAGAAATAGATCTGTATTCGCAGTTTTTAGCTCCACCTGACAAGATCGGTGAGAATAGGGCAGAAGCATCGCTAACGAGAGCAAGGGCTTTGAACCCAATGGTAGAGATTACATCGGAGACAAAGTCTGTTGATGATCTTCCAGACAGTTACTTTACGGAATATGATATCGTATGCGCAACTGGCTTAAAGCAAGAACAACTCGAGCGTATAAACAATGCTTGCCGCGACAGCAACAAGAAATTCTTGTGTGGTGATGTGTGGGGCATGTATGGTTACATGTTTGCTGACCTCGTTGACCATGAGTACTCTGAAGAAATTGTCCAACACAAAGCTGTAAAACGTAGTTCAGATGAAACTGAGAAGAATGCCCGGGAAACTGTCAGTATTACTGTAAAACGGAGAGCAATATATGTTCCTCTTCAAAACGCCTTGTCTGTTGACTGGATGAAACCAGAATATCGTTCTAGACTTCGCAGAGGGGACCCATCATACTTTGTAATGAAAATTCTGCTGCGTTTTAAAGACGAGTATAACAGGAACCCAGATCCAGCTAAGAGGAAAGAGGATACTAAGATTCTGTTATGCATGAGAGATGAGCTTGTTAAGGAACTGTCTCTTCCAGCTGGTTTTATCGTGGATGAACTACTTCTGGATGTGTTTGGCACAGTATCTGGAGCTGCTGCTGTCATCGGGGGTGTGATTGGACAAGAAGTAGTAAAGGCAGTGAGCCAGAGAGAACCTCCACACAACAACATGTTTTTCTTCAACCCAGTGAAATGTGTAGGTTTTGTTGAACTTTATGGTCAGTGAATTATTCAGCATAGATTATAAGCAGAGTTGAATTAAGATTAATAAATTATTTAAGTACATGTCTGTGTTTTATTTACAATTAGATTGTTTGTATGAGTCTAATGAGTGTGAATTTTGTAATAATTTCTTATAAGAATCAGGGTACCTAAATACTTGTACCTGCAAGTCAGTTAAATTCAAATAGACAGCCAAACTCTGTATCAGGTCCCCAGCCAGCCTTATATCATGGGTGCTAAACTTTACTTGACCATCTGCTGCAAAGTCCATGTACAAATAAGACTGATCTCTCAAACACAGAAGATTAATATGAAGCTCTTTTGTTTCTTCTGACTCAAGATTCAATTCTTCTTCCAATAAGAAGTTCTGGTTCACCCAGATACATATCCTTTGCACTCTCTCAGTGATGCGAAATGTTACATAGCTGTTCCCTTTATTCCTTACTTCTTTGGTAAACGATTGGTACATGGCGAATCTCGGGAGCTGTTTCGTCAACTCGAAGATATGGAATTGTTCACTATCAGGATAGCCTATGAGAGCCTGTATTGAAAGTCAATTAAAATAGTTAATTATTAAAAATTCGTATTACAGTTAGTATGAAACATGTGTGGAAGAGCCATGCTTCGGCACGAATAGGCGGGCCCAACCGGGGTTCACGGCCTCACAAAAAATTGCCGTGAAGCAACACTTACCTACGTTGTGTTTGGCCTAGTGAGTGTGGTTACCGGAAGCCCAATTCTTTCCTCCCAGCATCCACAATCCTCAAAAATCCCCTATCCTTAAATTCCAAATAACCGAAAAGAGGCCGGCAACGCACTTGTTGTAACTCTTTTAGTACTACGAATGTCCATAGGCGGCGCTCAACCATCAGGTAAACTGCTAGCTCGTTTAGCGATACTTGACATAAAAAAAATACTCGAGTACCTTGATGTGGACATCCACCGGTACATCACGTGGTGGTTTCAAGGGCACATGGAGTAGAGACCTCAATTGTTTAGGCTGAGGGTGGCGAATGAAAGTCTCTCCGCTTTCAAAAATACCTTCCGCCAAAACTAGCGCTGCGCGAACTACTGTCTCATTGTTAGTCGACACTGCAAGTTGTAGGCAAGCCTAAAACAAGTATAACAGAAGTACGCAGCTACCTACACAACATACATATTTATGGTGAATAATACAAATATTGGACTTTGCTCCTGGATGGTAATAGTTACCTCCTCGGGAGAATGCAGAATAGCCACTTGCAGCCTAGTATTAGTAGGCATAGCAGAAGCCGGCCGCTCTAGATTCTCAAGACTCACACTGCCACTCGCAGCGTTGGCCTCGTAATGTTGTAATTCTACCATAAGAGCCTGCTTCTTATTAAATAGTTCCGTGATGGCTAATAGATCCTCTTCAGAAGGCTTGCTCTTGGTAGCCGTGTTGAAGCCCGTATTTTCTTGGTAAGGCGGATACCCTAACACTGTTGAAAAATCAGTAGTAAGATCATAGTATAGGTAAAGCTCTTTATACTATGGTAAGATCGTATTCGTCAGCTATTAATCGAGGTACTAAAATAGGTCTAGACTGTAACCCTCAACCTTTGTGTTCTCTGGCGGAAAATTATTTATTTGTATCTACCCACGTAACGATCACCGTACCTTCGCCTTTATCAGACACACAGACGAGATCTGGCGCACCAACAGATCGGTAGTCTGCCAGTAACATTGCTGCAGCATTAGCACGCATCTGTACTCGCCGTAACACTCGTCCGGTTGTACCTTCACGCCAATCCACACGCCCGTTTGACCAGCAACAAGCTAAGGTATCTCCTGACCATTGGAGAGCCAGTGCGTTCTGTTTCGACTGTAAGAAATAATTCATTATAAGTTTCAACAGGTGGGCCACCTATGCCTCTGTTTATGTATTTCCACTAGTACCTTAACTCTCCACAATCGAATGCCCTCTTCATAAATTCCAATAGTACCATTAGCTAGTCCATATGCGAACCTGACTTCGTTCACTGGAGACAGACACATGATAGGTCCAGTTTCAGCGATTTCTGCTATAAATTGGTTGTTTTTTAGAACTCGAATAAATGAGTCGTCGCATCCTATGAGAAGCTGCAAGAAAAAAATAACCAATGCCTTAGGCGTATCTTTAATCTACTGTAGTAGGTCATAGGTCATATTTATTTTAATTTTTATAAACATACCTCATTTTCCCCATCCTTATCAAAATCGAAAGTAATCATAGCACAAACTTTACCGCTAACGACATTCCAAAAGACCTCATTGCCCTCCCAGTCAATGGCTTGTACTGAACTGTTACCACCAATTATGGCCAAGGTCTCCGTATGCTTGCCGAAGAATCCAGTTGTGATCACATTGACACCATCTGGTGCTTCTTTAAAAAACAGATCCGTATTGTCGTGGACGTCGTATGCTGTAAGTGAAAATTAATTTTAATTATCTAAATTCTCGGAAGTCGAAGGGTTTCAACTTCTAAAACAATATTTTGGAAAAAAACCTTTAGTATTGAAGCTTAGTATAATATTGGATTATCCTCGTTTATGCAAGATGTTATAATAATTGTTCTTACCTAATATCTGTGTTGGTGACCCAATAAGCAGCATATCTCTACCAGTGTCTGGACGCAAAGGTCCAGCTGCAAGAGCAATTACAGCTTGGCTCAGATTCAATTCAGAGACCTCTCCGTGAGCCTGCGACCGCTGCGCTCGTCCACTGACCATTCCTCCATGGGGATGATGGATAATGATCTGAGATTAATGAATTACCTATATATATCTTTTGGTAGTACATGATGATAAAGATAAAAGTAATTGTGTATTATGGTGCAGGAGAGAAAAGACCCAAAATCTGAATTATTCTTTATGGGTATCAATAATTTTATAAAAAACAAAACATATGCTCAAGTATTTCTTAAAAGAATCAAGGAAATAGGTAATAACTTTATCATATCCAGCTGATGCCGTAAGACAAGGGTGCGTTCCATCATACTTCGCAATCGTCACTACTTCTGGAGTAATCTTGTGGTTTAACTCTAGCTTAAACACTGGTTGAACTGTTGAGAACTGCATTTTGTTACCAAGTGTATTTTGTTTTGATTAAGTTCTCTATTTTCGTCAACGTCTGCTTTGTAGTACAAATTGGTTTCCATAGTGATTTGTGATTCGTAAATGTAAAGGCACATTAAATTATACCAAAAACTTATAAAGATGTACAACTTGAACGCGGCCTTTTAAAAACGTCAAAGTCAAACTGACGTTTCAAATGACATTGAAAATTGTTATGTCAAGTCGTCAATTTATTTTTTTGGCATTTTGTTTTACGCATTTGGAGAAATAACATGCTTACTTAATAATTGTGCCGATAACGCTATCATAAATTAACGCGGAAGTGGTATGTGCTTTTAAGAATTAGTACCAGTGACCAAATGGGTAGTGAATTAAATCTTGAATCTACGGAATCCAGGTATTTAGTAAATTAATTTTTATTATGTTTTTGTCTATTTTCGGCATTTTATTATTGCGCAATTGCTTTATAATTTTCGTATGAAGCTTGCTTGTGCTTCGGCTTTACTATTTTTAGTGTCATGCTGTAGAAGTTGGTATTTTTGTAGGTTTTCATCAGTGAGTTCTTGATGTCAATATCGTCTGTTATGCCAAGATTTCACATTCCGTGTTGTTCTATATGGACCCACTATCTCATGCCGTTCATTTATCATGTCATTATTGGCTTTTTAAGGTAATTTTTTATTAGCTTTTAAACATTATTATCTGATTTTTGCACTGCAGATTCATTACAGAGTCATAATCACAAAGAAACCACATTTTAAATCTAATAATATGTGATAAGTTTTCGTTTAAATTATGTTTGAGTGTCTGATTGTGTTATTTTTGATAAATATTTGCATTTAAATTTTACAATTTTTGGTCTATTATTTAAAGTAAATTAAAGTTAATTTATTAATATTTATTAATTATTCATTCAATATAAACCAAGATTTGATAACAATTATCATTTCCTTATCATATATTTTTAATTTCCTTTACTTTTATTTAAATAATATTCAAATGTTATATATCTTTCAAAATAAATTACATTATCATTGCAAAAGAAAATATTTTTTATGACAATGATGTAAAAAATAGATTTGGGATATTACAAGGTATAGCATGAAGTAATTATAATTATCTCACACTAAAAGACGGTGAAAAAAAAACATCTAAGTCACCATGAATCAAGACTTTCAAAAGAACCTTAAATAAAAAAATACAATATCCTAAGCCAACTTTAATATTAACTTATCCTTCTAATAGAACTCTTAATATATGTAAGTATTCATAATATATGAGAGATAATTTAATTACGTAATATTAGTTATATTTTAATAACAAAAATATATTAGTTCTTTTAATTATTTTATTAGATCTTAACATACAAACTAATTGACATTTTTTATTGTTTTTACAACAGATCACCACAACAATGACAGACTGTATAATAACATTAACAATACCTGAATATACCTAAATAAAAAAAATTAAACTGTCATAACATCATTATGTTGGTATTATTTCAGAGTATAAACTATACAGCCAGCATCAATGGTTTACAACAATAAGCAAGTTTTTTTTAAACATTAACTGTGTTTATTTGGTTACTTTTTGAAGTGATGTTTATTTTCTTATTTTTTAGAAACTTCAGGCAATGAGCAATATTGAATTAACATATACATTATATTTTAAACGTAGGGGTAAATAAATAATTAAATATGTTTTAAGAATTCACCAATTTTGTATACTTACAAGTATACAAATTAATCATTCACTTATTATAATATTATTTCAAAAAAGGAATTTAGACATGATGTTATAATTAATTATATGCCTTTTAAAAAATAACATAATTTGTTTATATTTAAATACTTTATTTTTACAAACTACAAAAAAAAACTAGAATGACAACATTCAAATATCACTTGACTATCTCAAGTGATATTTGAATGTTGTCATTGCTAACCAAAATTACAAGTCATGATGATATGAAGAATGATGCAACACTATCCAATTCTCTTAAAAGTCTGTACCTACAGAAAAAAAAACTTAGTCATAGTCATTATTAAATTTAAAAAAGTCTTTATTTAATGTGTGGCAAGATTTATCTCTATTTAAATGTTTATTTACCTTAAAAAGACGAAGTTTTAAACTAAATTAAGTTGATGAATAAACCTGACTATTGTAGTCAAAATAGTTAAGTCCTATTGTACTTTAATTGGAAGTTAAATAATGTATATGTTGACACAATATTGCCATTGTGTTAGGAAGTAGAGTGTGCTTGTGTGTGTATGCTAGACTGCTTGAATGCGTAGATGACCCACATGTAGTGTGTAATCTATCATGGCTCTAGAGTATTTCATTCACTGATAATAATTAAATCATTATTTCAACTAAACATTCAACAATTTGATTTATTAAATATAAACTTAATTTGTTTTTTTATTCACAAGCATGATTGTGCTAGCAAAAGGTTGCATCATTAACAACCTCCTTGGAGGCTAGTGGTTTATATTTTTGATTAAATGTCGATGGTTTGTTTTCTTTTTAAATTTCAGTACAGTTAGCAGGACATGGATTGGAACTGTTGTATCCATTATATGGAAGTAAGATGTATTTCCAGTTGATGTTCACAATTTTAGTTTGAAATGCTTAATTTTATTTATTTTGGGCTACTTTCAATATTTATTTGTTTAATTTACTAATAATGGGAAACTATTTCTCGACGAAGAAAAGGGAGAGTCACAAAAAATAACTTTATTTGACACAGTCCAAAGAAATAGTACTTATAAGTTTTAATCACCTAAATACTAGTATTTAGTAGTCTTGGATAGTTGGAGATTTTATCGCTGCAAGTGTCCTTGCTCTTTAAGCCATGCGCGTTCGTTAGATATTCCTAAAAGATACTGCTGTATTTTTTTTATCGTTATTATCTATCCACATATTCTACATTCTTTAATACTCGGGTTCGCGGCGTATTTGAAGAGTATATTCCACAATATTTTAGCGATAGCGAAGGATAAAGGACTCTCCTCAGGTAGGAGAGTCATGCTTCCGCACAAATAGTCGGCTCGACCGGAGTGATACTACGGCCTCACAGACAACCGGCTTGAAACAACCACAGCGTTGTGTTTCGCCGTATGAGTGAGGTTACCGGAGGCCCAATCCAAATCTCCAAATCCGTAATCCCCAAAAGATCGGCACAGCGCTCGTAACTCCTGTGTTGCGGTTGTGTCCATGGGTAGCGCTAATTGCTTACCATCAGGTAATCCGTCCCCTCGTTTGCCAATCTATTACATAATAAAAAAACACCAAAAAGTCTGCTTGGTACCAATAATAGTCTATAGTCTATGCCATGACTAGGCACATTACGAGTTTATTAGTAAACGTTGTTCCGTGACTCACCAATTACTATAACCGCCATCTCGACCTTGGACGGCAACTAGAATATTGACCTTCGTAACTTTGACCGGTCAATAATAAACAAAGGGAATTATATAACTTTTGAATTATGGGTTTTTATTCCCCTGAAAACGGAAGGCAGGAGTTGCAGAAAAAACTGCGACAACCCTATCTTGCTGTTAATGTTGTTTCAACCGGGGTTGCGGGGCAAGCGTAACAAACCTTAGCGTAGTAGGGCTTTCGCACCACTCTCTGGGCTGGAGAAGTCAGTCAATTTATGATTATTCCCTCACAATAATGCCTATTGTAGTGTTATTAGTAGACACAATTTAGTTTTTTTTACTACTGATACATAGTTCCAAAACTCTGAAAGACTTACACCTAATAACTCAACGGCGTAGTAGCTGGCCGCTTCGTAACAATTTCTACTCTGATATTTTTTTATTAACCCACTAATATCTTTTCAAGGAGATAAGTGTCAATATCTAGAAATGTCTGTAGTTTCTAACTAACTATAGCATAGATATATCTGGAGTTTCTTCTAAGCTAACATATTTCTTCTATAGCTATGCTCTGCTAATATTAATCCTTACCTTTGTTGACCTTAGCCGGGGTTACGGGGTAAGCGCAATGAGGCACCGCGACCTCGGCCCAGAGCAGGAGAAGGAACAGGGGGGTTTTTTAGTCAGTAAGAGTCTGACATTCCCTCCCACCCAGCCCTGGGTGGGAGAAGTCATTTGATGATTTTCCCCTCACAAAAAAAAACCTTCCTAATGCTGAAACTTAAAATTCACGTTTATAACAAGATACTTAGTTAAAACTTTATTTCTTGAGCTCTAAGTGTGTTTTCCGTATAACAAAGCTTGGCGGTAATGTCCTTTTAGATACTAAATACTAATAAGTACATAGTTGTTTGTAAATAAACAAAAATATAATTAACTAGCGGCCCGCCCCCGCTTTGCACGGGTCCAACTATCTCTCTATTAAAGGGCACTTTTACCTAATCTTCCCCTCTACATTTCTAATATGTTCTTTGATAAAAACCTTCTCCCGACAATAACAAACACAACAAAAAAAGAATTATCAAAATTGGTCCAAGCGTTATTGAGTTATGCGCTTACCAACACATTTTGCGATTCATTTTTATATATTAGATTTATCAATAGGTACCTACTACTAACTATATCTACTAACATAAACAACCTACTTCTGTGAATAATTTATTTTAAAATTTTATTTGCATTTTTTAATGTATTATTGTTATGTTTACTGATTGTGTTTGTGTGTGTGTGGACCTTTAGAAACAGCCTGTATTGTTTATTGAGCTAACTACATCTAAAGTTTTTCAAGGGTTTCGACTATAAGAAAAACATTTTATTTTTTAAAAAAGCTATGATTATTTTGAAACATTATTTGTAGTTGATAAACTGCCAAGATGATTTAATTAGGAATTTGATTTAGCTCTAGAAACAATGACGTTTCATCTGTTTGTAAAAGTCGTCAAAAGCATTTGTTTTATTTTTAATATTGCATCTTGTTTATTATTTCACAGTTGGACCGGAGGGTGGTTCAGCTGGACCCGTCAGTCGGATGCGATGCTACGAAATATTGAGAAACAAATATTATCATGTAAGCTTTTTTTTAGATAAATTATTATTTTATATAATATATCTTTTTTGCTTGACGTTCAAAAGTGCCTGTTGTGGTCGACTTGAAATAAAGAATTTGATTTGATTGATTTACCCAGTGGCAGGGCAAGACCTAATTTTAATGTGGGTATGACAGATTTTGCGAGGTCCTTTTATATGGCGACCTGAAGACGAAAGATAAAAATTTAATGCGTATATTAATTTTCTTCGCATTTAATGGATGTTATTATACCTACATATAAATTTTGCTCTTCGATCACTATATCTATTGAACACCCACATCAATATCCGTTGCGTTTATAGTTTCAAAGATTTAAGCGTACATAGCGATATAGGGACAGACAATGCTACTTTGTTTTATATTATGTACTTTTTTAATGTAAGTTGTGTAGTATTTTTAACTCTATAGCGGTTTTATACAACTTATACATTCACTTAGTTATTGGGCAGATAAACCAGTTGTTTGGAAATACATAAATAACGACGCCTTTTTTCCTTCTTTAGCAGATAACAGGGGAAAGTCAGCAAATGAACTCTAAGTATTCTTTTTTCAAATTTCAAATTGTACTGTAGAAGTAATATTTTAACGGACGTGCGTTAGTTTAGGTGGGTTATTAGACACGAGAAAACTAGGAACATGTAGTTTGATAGGAAAATGTTATACTCTAGCTTTGACAAAATCAGCAGACGGTCTATTACACAAATGTTATTAATGGGCAAGCAATTATTGGCAACTCCCGTCCCCTTATATAACGTGCTGGCGGAACAAAGTCATTACGGCACGGTAATGTCTCTATAATTGTGGGGGGAGGTAGCGCACTCATGAAACAAGAACTGACGTGTTTGGGAGAGCCATGCTTCAGGACGAATGGGCATGCTCCACCGTAGTCATACTATCTATGGCCTCACAGAAAACCGATTTAAAAAAACGCTTAGGATGTTGTGTTTTGCTATGTGAGTGAGGTGACCCAATCTTTCCTCCCTCTTATCCCAAATCCTCTTGCTAACAACCCACAAGAGGTCGTCAATGCACTCGTAAGTCTTCGATGTTATGGCTGGCGCGAAATTTCCAGATCGGTATATCTTGAAGTGCTAGCTACCAGTACCTATTAAACAATAGAATCTTATCAATAAAGCGAAATACGTTTGGATAAAAGATTAAAGTTGATCGTAGGCAACTGTCCTACCTAGTGATAATACTTAATACTTACTATATTAAATAATTCAAGTCTTGTTAGGTTCGTACAAAATGACTACATGTATAAAGCCGGGTTTTCTGGATAAGCGCAATGAGTCACCGCGGCCTCGGTCTAGAGCAGGAGATGGGGGGGGGGGGTTTGCTCAGTAAGAGTCTGACACTCCCTGCCGCCCATCCTAGGCGGGAGAATTCATTGGCGATATTCCCCTCACAAAAAAATCGACATAAAAGAATTATTTTATTATATATGTTATATTATATATTTAAACACAATTTTAGAATTATTTATTATGTTTTCGGCTTACTCACGTAATAATTTGACGAGATACTCGACTAGTTTCAAGCCATGCTAGAGGCCCGTATTCATGAGCAGCATTGCGCGACACGCGACTCTGCGACTGTCGAGTATCTCGTCAAATTATTACGTGAGTAAGCCGAAAACATAATAAATAACAATTTTAGAAAATGATAAATACAAGTTTTAGTTCCGTCCTTGCTCTGTCAAACCATTGCCATGTGTGAGAGAGTCATGCTTCGGCACGAATGGGCACGCCCAACCGGAGTGATAAAACAACCTCACAGAAAACCGGCGTGGCACAACCACAGCGTTGTGTTTCGTCGTGTGACTGAGGTTACCGGACGCCTAATCCGAAATCCCATCTCAATTCGGAGAGATGAGGGAAGAAGAACTCCACCAATACTTAAATCCCCAAATCTCCTTATCTTCAAAATGGACGATAAAGCTGCAGTGCACTTGCAACTTCTGTAGTATTGTGGGTGTACATGGACGGCACCGATTGCTTGCCATCAGGTCTTCCGTCTGCTCGTTTGCATATCACAAAAGAAAGGAATTAACCTAAGCGTACGGTTAACATCGTATCTCCTATCTGCGACACTTATGGCAAAAATCGCTTTTCACAATATCTTTAAAAGATAAAAGTATAATAGGAATTAGGAATGAACTTCCTAACTGCTAGTTCAAAAACATTTTGCCATTAGATTACTGAAAAAAAAAAACAGCATTGTCATATAAGAGAATGTTTTAGATAAAAAAAATCTTTGAACTTACAAAAGACCTAATTCCGTATTACATTTCGTCATTATGGACTTTATAGTTATAGAAATAGCATCGAAGGTAAAAAGCTCTGGTTCCAATCGAAACGATGTTATCGGTTAATGATTTTCCGGGATGTAGCTCTCGAGATAAAGGTTGGTGCACACTGATAACAATCAAGTGGGTACGCACCGTTACCAGTGTTGCGTGGCATATTCTAGATTAGCAAGTCTTGCGCGGTTTCACCCGTTGCGAGGCTCCTATAGGTTGTAGCGTGATGTTTTACAGCCTATTATAGCTTTCAAGAACATTGTAGATATCTATCCGTGAAAGAATTTCGGAAATCCGACCAGCGGTGCCAAGGATTACCTCCTAGGCTCCTACTTACAAATTTACGAATTAAATAGTTTACCTCTTTATAATATTAGTATAGTTACTTCTGTAGTCAAATTCAATACTTTAATTTAAATGTCAAAAACGATACTTTTGTATGAAATTGGTTTAAAAAACTGAGTTATGACGTCATAGTATTTTTGCGTCAAATAGCTTACTTATTTCTTAATAATTAGCTAAAAAATATCTAAAACTTAGTGTATCGATCGATCGATGAAAACGTATGCGTTATTTTTCAATTTACAAAAGTCGAATTAATTTATTTTTGACCTAGGAAACTACCCGATTAAAGTAGTAAGTTGGACTTTGCATTGATTGAAGCGAAGTGACTCATCGAAATTTATTATCCAGCAGTTTACATAGATTTTGTACAAAATGACTCAATATCACAATACATTTACTCTTTGTTTGTCCAACAGATAAGCAGAAGTACTAAAATTCAATGCATTACCTACTTAATTTCTAGATTTAGAAAATTTAAACAAACCTTTCTTGTATTTAAATGGAATTCTAAATTTTAGAATCCTTTTCGAATTACGCGTATTTTTATCTCTGTCTACTGTCTTTATATTTATTTTATATTATGTGTTGCCAAACTTGAAGAACTATTACCTAATGGTAGCATTTGATGCCGCCCATGGAAACCAAAAGAGTTGGAATGAGTGCTGCCGATTTGTATATTATCAGGGAAACCGGTAATCTCACATAGAAAATCACAGCCCAAGACTTGATTTCTTTCCTGTATTTTGTGGGGTGCAATTCCGATCGAGCCGGGCCCATTTCGTGCAGAAGAATTTTCTCTCTCACATATGTCTGAAAGTCGAAGTCGTAGAAAACAGGAAAAGTATCATGTAGATGTTTTCTTTATCAACGATCATCGACTAGGGTAGTGACGCAAATATCGAACCGCTTTCTACGTGAAGGTAAAAGCGGTTTTCACTTTATAACGACTATAATTATTTACTGCAAGTATTACTATTACACAGCGTGGTTAGTTTATGGAAAACTATTTAATATTATGTTAATAGCTATAGTACTATTTTTGTGTTACAACTCTCATGAGACATTTTTAATTAATACTAGTTTCCAACTACTTAGTCAAATTCAATACTTTATCCAAAAGACAAAACCGATACATACGAAAATTTTATGAAATTCAAAATTATGACGTCATAGTATACTTGCGTCAAATAGCTTATTTATTTCTTAAATAGAGCTAAAATTATCGTAAATTTTGTGTATTGATATCGACATATCGATGAATTAAAGTAGGTATAGTTATTTTTCAATACTTTATTGTATTCAAACGTCGAATTAATAATTGTTGACTTAGGAAACTACCTTTATTAAATATGTAAGTTTAACGACTTATTATTTGACGAGGGACTCGGATAGTGTCAAGTCAGTTAAGGGGCTTCTGGGGTTGCGGGTCAAGGTACCGCGTCCCCAGCCTGAAGCTAGAGAAGAAACGGGGTGTTTTAGTCAGTAAGAGTCTGGGAGTGTCAGACTCTTAATTACTGACTAAAAGTCATTTGAAGATTTTCCTCCCTCAAAAAAGACACTTTAGGGGCCTATATAAATATAAATCCATGTTGAACATTGCGGGACACAGAACGACACACACAAATAGTGTGTATTTGAAGCGCTGGCCAAATGGCTGGTACAATAGCCCGTAACGTCTGGATCTGGGCCTTTCCTTTCTTTCTATGAGAAAGTATCCTTATTTAATCTCCTAAACAAGCAGGCTAGAGATAGCTGTTTAAGAGGAATTAGCAAATTTCCAACAGGACCGTACCGTTCAGTACTACAATATTATTATTTTTTTATGACTTATTCATAGGCGATAAATCATTCGTCCGCCCTCCGCATTGACCCCTGACAAATCCAAGAATCCGCAATAGTTCAATATCCAATGTTATTGAGATATTATCAATGTTCCTATTATAAATTAATTGATAAGATTGTCGTTATCAGTACAAGCGTGCATTCAGCGACCTTACTAGTTTGGCAGCGATTAGTGAGCTAAGTGCTGTAATACTATTTATCTAAGCGAATAAATGAGGAAACATTTTCTTTCACGGTTTCAGTTCTATTTTCAACTTATTTTTCTACTAGCTTCTGCCCGCGGCTTCGCCCGCGTCGTATGTTGATAAAAAGTAGCCTATATCCTATTCCGGGGTGTATCCTGTACCTGTGCCAAATTTAATCCAGATCCGTCCAACCGTTTTGGCGTGTTTGAGTAACAAATGTCCGAACATTGTAACTTTCGCATTTATAATATTAGTAAAAAGTAAGAATGAAAGATAATATTACCGTAGTGGATGCCTTAAGTAAGTTTGAAATACATTTGTGTGGAGTGTCGCGTCGTGTAGCGACAGAATGTTCCGGTTGAGCACACAACACGCCAAGCTATTTTGTCTCTTACCATAGTGAATGTACGAATCTGGTAGGGTTCTAGCGCGACCCGCCTCTGTGATGTATATTCGGCTTTAAGTTCGATTGCGATATTTTTAGCTTTTGCAAAGAACTCTTAAAGTCTTTGTGTTATTACAAAGACACTTGTAGGGTAGAACTTAACAATACGCTTTTAAAACTAGGGCTCATTTACTAAAACTGCATTTCCTCTCGAAAGGAATAACTAACAAGTCATTTTTTGATTTGTTATTTACCTCAATGTTAAATATACATTACTAGCTTTTGCCCGCGACTACGTTCGCGTGGAATAGTGAACACTATCCTATATCCTTTCTAGAGTTCCAAACTATGTCTGTACCAAATTTCACAGAAATCAGTTCAGTAGTTTAGGCGTGAAGAAAAGACAGACAGACTGACAGAGTTACTTTCGCATTTATAATATTAGTTTTGAATATTTTGAATATTTCTTAAGTAATAAAGTTGTTGAAAATTGCCATATACTGTATTTGAAGAGCGTAGATATATATATTTTAATGGTTTTCATGATATTGTATTGTTGTTTTATTTTGTTCTAGGCTTGAAAACAGCGTACAAACGGTTTTACGTGGACATTGGCAGTGTTGTGGGACAGAGCGACAAAATATGGACGATATCACTTAATGAGGAGTCTCCCAAGACCCCACTAGTGCTGCTACATGGAATGGGAGCAGGCCTAGCGCTCTGGTGCCCAAATCTAGACTCCTTTGCCGCCACGAGGCCGGTATACGCCATTGATTTACTAGGTAAATGACCTTCTTTATTTATTTATGTTTATTTTTAGCCCCCACGTGTAAATCTTTGGCTAAATTGAAGTCGCGCCAATGTTATTTTTGTGATTGTCATGTTATCAAGGTTATTATATTTTAAAAGACGTCAAAATAGGGAGTTTATTTGTTTTTAATTATCTTACGGCTTTTTAAGAAATAAGTTTTTCTTTTTTTATTACTTACCTAATTTTTACTATTTCCCTGATATTTCTAGATAAATATATTTTATTTAAACATGATGATATACTTTTTTGAAATGTTGCTGTTTTTATGTAGTTAGGAGGAAAACGAGCAGACTTTGAGAAGGTTACCTGATGGTAAGCAGCCGGCGCGGCCCATGAACACCCGAAACACCAGTGGAGTAACGAGTTGCCGGTCTTTTGGGGATTAGGGTTTTGTAGCTTTAGGTATTGAGGAGGGATGGGGAGAAGGATTAGACTCCCGATAACTCCGGTAACCTCACTTACACGGAGAAACACAACCCAGTGATTGTTTCACGCCGGTTTTCTATGAGGTCGCGGTGTAACTCCGGTCGAGCCGACGCGACGCATACGTGCCGAAGCATGACTCTCCCACACTTGCTATATTGTATGATATTGTTTATAAATCAAATTTTGCTTATTTGACAGGTTTTGGTCGAAGTTCCCGTCCCAAGTTCGCGTCAGACGCGCAGAAGGCCGAAGCACAATGGGTGGAGTCTGTGGAGGAGTGGCGACGTGAGGTCAACCTCGGGCAGTTCATACTGCTGGGCCACAGTCTCGGAGGGTACATCGCGACCGCATACGCAATGAAATACCCAGAGAGGTGAGTCTATTGCTAATTTGTTAAAAATACATAATCTTACTATAAACAATGAGCAAAGGCCTCTACTCGCACGGAGAAGGTTTGAGTATTAATCACCACGCTTGCTCAAGGCGGATTGGATTTCAAACTTATAATTAGAAATTATAGGCCCAGGTTTACTCACGGTGTTTTCCTTCACTGTATGTCTTCTCTCCCTCCTTCCATTCTTCTTGTCTTGCATGAGAATCGGGCGCTAGAACGATAATGTTACTTTCCCTACTTTCAATTAAAACTGATGTAATTCCTTTTAATTATACTGTAGGTCTTTGCAACTCGATTATCATTTCTCTAGCTGGGCGGGTACCCATTTTTATTATTTTCCCCTCACCAAAAAACCAAAAAGTTGGGCACAAAATAACATGCACTTTTCATCAGGTACTAAACGGCTTATTTCCTCAATTGCAGAGTACGTCACTTAGTCCTAGCTGATCCTTGGGGCTTCGCTGAGCGTCCACCAAATGCATATGAGAAGGCACAACTTCCTCTCTGGGTACGAGTGATCGGGTCTGCCTTGCAGCCACTGAACCCTCTCTGGGCCGTGAGGGCCGCGGGCCCCGCCGGCAAGTGGTTGGTCAGTAAGACCCGACCCGACATATCTAGGAAGTACCTCAACTACGTGCCCGACGCGGAGAGGGTTATACCCGAATATATCTACCAGTGTAACTCACAAACGCCTAGGTAAGATACGAAATTTGTATAATTTCCGGATCGATACGACGACCTTCAAGTATTCTAGAAACGTGTGTTTTTCTTTTAAAAAATCCGGCAACGCGCTATTGAGATTATACCAGTCAAGCCATCAACTGTTGCCTCCTCAGATTTACTTAAATTGTTAAAAAAAAATTGTTATACCACCAGCGGTTCCCAAGATTAACCCCTATGGTACACACATTACATATATGTAATAAGATTATTATATACCACTCCTTCTCGAAATAAAAACTCAGTTGGGTTTCTGCAAAAAAAACAGTTTCATTTATTTATTTTCTGTTTACAAGATAAAATTACAAAAGACAGTTAGAAATAGTCTTACCTGCAATAAAAACAGAAAACAACATTAAAAGTTTTTACTCCAGGTGATTTACTTATTATTCCTTATTAAAATTAATAACCTTTAAACCAATAATTGAAATCTTCAATGTTTGATATTTTTAGGTTAGAATTCCGACCATCGAGTATTCATCTTTTACTCGAAACGCGGCAAATTAAAACATAAACGTAGTGGTTACATACTCTTTGATAAAGACGATTACGTCTCATATAAATGAGAGTCGTTATTTTCTTTATATATTTATAATATTAGTTTCTCTAAATCATCTCAAAGCTCTTTATTTTATTACAATTCTTAGTAATGATTAATTTTTTTTTCTCTTCACAGCGGTGAAAGTGCGTTCCACACTCTAATGACTGGTTTCGGTTGGGCAAAGAACCCGATGGTTCGTCGAGTGAACGAGCTGGACCCCGCCCTGCCCATCACAGTGCTGTATGGCTCCCGGTCCTGGGTGGATAACAGCAGTGGACAGGTTCTAGTGGAGCAACGTGGCCCTACTAATACTTATGTACAGGTAAGAAGAAAAATTATATTGTAATGAAAATTCTTTATGACTGCACTGTTGGCGCGGTGGCTGGGCAACTGGCTGCCGTACAACGTGTGTCGGGTTCGATTCCCGCACGGAACAACTCTTTGTGTGATCCACAAATTGTTGTTCCGGGTCTGGGTGTGATGTGCATGTGAAATTGCATGTTTGTAAACGCACCCTCGACACAGGAGAAAATCCTAATGTGGGGCAAAGTTTTTTTTAATAAAGAAAGATAAAGATAGACCTATGTTATAGTAGCCGGCATTACGGGGTAAGCGCAAGGAGGCAACACGGCCTCGGCCTTGAGCAGAAAAACGAACGGGGGGAGGGAGTCATAGTCTGATACTCCCTCTGGCCTCACATGGGCGGGAGAAGCCATTTGAATATTCTCTCTTAAAAAAAATATTTTTTATAGTGGGATATTGAGCTTATGGCGCCAGTTTCCACCATAGTTCTAGTATCTTCAGTTGACTGTACGGTTGGTGCGGTGGCCGGGCAACTCGGCCTTGGGCAGAAAAAGGAACGGGGGAGGGGTTTTAGTCAGAGTCTGAAACTACCCTCTCGACTCACCTGGGCGGGAGAAGTCATTTGATGATTTACCCCTCACAAAAAGAAAGATCTATGTTATAGTGGATAAGCTTATGGCGCCAGGCATAGTTCTAACCCCCGTTTCATTATTTTTTACCACTCAAATATCAACATATAATAATATTATTTGTCTTTTGCCTGAATTATGCTGTCATGAAAATAAGCGTGCTTAATTTATCAAACCTCAAGCGTTCGCGCACTTATTGTTTTTCAAGCTATTGTGTCTCGAATTACCATGATTGAAAGGTTTATAATATAAGTAATAACTCTTTTGAATTGTTTCCCGCAGGTAATAAACGGCGCCGGTCACCACGTGTACCTAGATAAGCCGGAACTTTTCAACAAGTTTGTACTAGAGGCGTGTACGCGCGCAGACGAACACGACCCCCGGCCCGCGCTCAAGGCTGCCCCCGCAGAGCCCGGAGCGGAGACCCCAGCACTGCCACCCGGTGGCGAAGCACCCTCGAACACAGTCGCCATCACTAACAAGGCGTCCGCCTCGTCTGACACCACGGCGCATACATCTTGATGATAAACAAATCTTAGTTATATTACAATTGTTACGCACATTCGATTATGTATAGTTGCGATACGTTAATGTTGTACTGTGTTATGAGTTGAGCATGTGTTCATTATGGGTAGCCAATGGAAGCTCATAAGGTATCCAACTAGTTCAATAATTTTTAAGATGCGCTTCAAAAATGTTAGGCCCTCTATGATAAGTTGGTATTTTTCCTTAAGTTTCCATTGGTTACCGCCTTGTATTAAAACGAGAATAGTTTATATTGTTCTGTTTTAAGAGTTCTATAAGTGTTTTATATTTAGTCGATTTTTCTACAATCGACTAAAATTGTCCATATTTGTCGCGTTGGTGGAAACACTAGCTAAAAATTGCTAGCCTAAAAATTGGCCGATTGTCGTCAACTTGGACGGCGTAGTAATTACGAATTAAAGTATTAAAAGCAATTGAATCTTTAAGAAACTTTCTAAGATTACTTATACGCTTCGTTCATACCAATTATAAAACATATACACAACTACTTACAAACTAGATAGATGAAAGCTTAGTTAACAAATCTATTTATTTGACGGCATGATCACGTTCAAAATTTTTGTGAAAATTGCCTTGAGTTAGTTCTATGTGTGTTGTAGTACAGGTTACGGGTAAAAACTATGATTTTGTTCAAGTTTGACTGTAATTAAATGTTTTAATTATGTTTGAAATATCTATAGTTTACTGTTAGTCAACAAAGTTAACAACACGACCAATATCCTAGTTTAATTATAAGTTTTGATACTGTCACTCTGGTACTAAGAATTTTCAACGCCTATGCCTATTAGTGTGGAATTACCTCTTCTATAAAATCTTACTTAGCTAGTATAAAAAATTTCCTCTAAAACTCTTTCCTAAATATATGTAAGTATCTCTCTGTTCTATTATGTTTGGCGTTGCCTTTTTTAAGAAGTTTTATCCAGCTTTTGTAGCTACCAAGTACCTGCTTCAAAGAGATGAAGGGATCACAAAATATGAGACTTTGTATTATATATTTTTGTTAAGACCGTGTATGTTACTGTAAAATGTTGTGTGACGGCTAAAAATTATCGATTTGGCTGATTACTAAGTATGTTTGTCAAGTGACCTTAACATCAGATATCATTTTAATAAACATGTAACCCTATTTTACTGGGTCTGTATTTGAAACATATGACTGCCAAATTCATTAAGATTATAAGTTTTTTGTACATTATATTGAGCGAGTATTATGCTTTTCGTAAGGCCTAGTGCGTCGAATAATCAGAATTATGTAAAGCTGTACGTAACATTTTGCGAAGTTTGTCTTGCAAGCACAACGGTGTTGTTGGACGTCTAGTACTGCGAGTTCGTTGAGTATTGTTGTTTAGCCACAGGCTTTTTGATACACGGATTGAAATATTATGTAAATAAAGATAATTTATTGAAAACGTGTTTTTTTTATTTATTGATTCATATGCAATCCTTCAAATATCTCAAAATATAGATGTTCTAGCAAAAGGAATATGCATAACCCTTAGCAAACTACCTATTTGCTAAATAAGGAACGAGTGAATTACCTTAGCCTGTTTTGGGCCTATTTATTACACAATAAAAATTTGACGAAAACTGTTTAGGAAGTATACATACTCTATACTATTTAATTTTCGATACGACTGTCTAGGTCTGAAAAACAAACTTAATATTTATCTAGCTCACTAATTGGCCTATACTGGTAAAAATGTTCTTGTAACGAAGGCATCTTATGTAGACATTCTAAATTTTAACATATCAAAGGTTGCTTTGGACTGAATTATTTAGATTTTTGTTTGGTATCTTATAAAAACGCACGAGCGTCCAATTATGTCAGTGGTAGTAATTCCAATTAACGAGCTGTGCCCCGTAGTTTTATCAGGGGTAGTGCAACAATTCAAATACCTATGTCAATTCAAACTAATAATCCGCCGCCGGAAGATCATTCCAAAGTTTTGTTGTGCGGGACAGAAAGTTACGCGTGCGTCGCAGTTGTTGACTGCCAAACAACAGTCAACAATTCAGACAGCTCGTCGGTGAATGCGGTCCAGAGGGAGAAGCTGGTACTGAGGTGCCCCCGCCCAAAGATGAGAACAGTATTCCATAACTGAACTTGCGCTTTGTAAAGTAGCAGGCGATGCCCCGGGGTGAAATACTGCCTCGATCACACCAAGCTTCTTCGAGGCTAATTTGGCCTTACCCTCCAGATGACCGCGGAACTAGACTTCGCTCGATATGTCGACGCCAAGTATCCCAATACCCGGGCACGCTACTATAGCAGCGGTAAGACCCCTCTTTGAGGAGTGGCTTGAGAGACGCCACGGCGTCCTCACCTTCCGCCTGACGCAGGTGCTTCCCGGGCTTACCGGAACCTACCGAAGCGGCAGCTTCGGTAGGTTCCTGTTTCGGATCCAGCGGGAGGAAACGCCCGAGTGTCGTCATTGTGAGGACCACCTAGAGGATACGGTAGCGGTATGCCCTGCCTGGGCTGAGCACCGCCGTATCCTCAGGTAAGTGATCGGCGGCGGCGACCTCTCACGCCCGGCCTTAGTCGAGGCCATGGTGCGGAGTGAGAGGAACTGGGACGCCGTCTCCTCCTTTTGTGAAGCAGTCATGCTCGCAAAGAGAAGGGCGGCCCGCGTGAGGGAGTAATCCTCCTCCTCACGCCCCAGCAGCCGCAACTGGCGACACTACGGGCGTCGGGATCGAGGGACGATCTCCGGCCACCGTAAGCACGGGCCTGCGGTCGGCGAGTAAGGGTAGCTCGCCGCCCGACCAGAACCAGGCCCGAGCGTACGGCGCGTAGCGTTCCGCGCGCGCCTCAAAGAGCCATTCGACCACCACAAACGGGGCCCTAAAGGGCTGATGTTCAGCCGGGGTTGCGGGGTAAGCGCAATGAGGTACCGCGACCTCGGCACAGAGCAGGAGAAGGAACAGGGGGGTTTTTAGTCAGTAAGAGTCTGACACTCCCTCCTGCCCGGCTCTGGGCGGGAGAAGTCATTTGATGATTTTCCCCTCACAAAAAAAAAGTATCCCAATACCGGCAGAGGCTGTGAGGGGACAGGGGAGTGTGCTCTGAAATTGAGGAGATACGACCGAAGGCAGTTTTTAGCTGTAAACACGCAGACCTGTATCTTTGTGGGGTTAAATTGGACTAAGTCTACCCCAATTTGAGATTCTTTCGAAAGAAGTCTCGATTTCAGACACAAGCCTGTTTTTTCTTTTCTTTTTTTTTTATGTTATTGGACGGCAAACGTATTACCTGATGGTAAGCAATCGGCGTCGCCCATGGACACCCGCAACAACGAAGGAGTTACGAGTGCGTTGCCGACCTTTTAAGGATTGGGATTTTGGGATTGGGGTAGGGGAAGGACTGTTTCGACTCTTGATGACGTTTTCCCAAGAAATGTTATATTAGCACCGGTTAGAAATGTGGCCGGCGTAAAACGCATCACCCGTGCTGTCATCCGCATAACAATGAATGCCACTAATTTGCAACATATCATTGGTATGGAGGAGGAACAGAGTGGGCGATAGTACGCAGCCTTGAGGTACGCCAGCGTTCACAGGCAAGCAATCAGAGCGTTCACCGTCGACCGCGACCTTTATGTTTCTGTCTGCAAGGAAGCTGGATACCCATTTACACAGTTTCTCGGGAAGCCCATAAGGAGGTAGCTTCGTAAGAAGCCCTTAGAATTTAGAAGAATTTAGGAATACCACGACCAAAGGAATTAGGGATCAATTTTATAATTATGGTACTAGATTCTGTCGCGCTGTTTAACTCGCTGTTCGGCTCCCACAAATTGTAGCGTGATTTTATTGCCTAAAGCGTTCCTCGATAAATTTACTAACACACACAAAAAGAAATATTTGAATCGAACCAGTAGTTCTGAAGATAAACTCTCCAGCTTTATAATATTACCTATAAGTATAGATATAGATGTGTGTCTCCTCGAAGGGTTCATACACGCAAAAAATAATATTAATAATAAAACCCAAAATTCATGTAAAAATATGGCTTATATTTAAACAGATTACAAAATGGAACGTAATAAACAAAATAAATCAACACAAACATGATATTTCAGATCAACACAGTCGCAGGTGGGTGTGGCTAACGATCGTCACTTTTCCTTCATCTTGTAGATCACGAAGGGCTTCGTCTAACTGCTCTCGCGATACAGTCTGGGAATAAATATAAAGTTTAGTTATACACACAGACATATTTTATACCGAACCCACATTCTTAAGAAATAAGATGTCTGACAAAGACTTATCAGTCTCTATTTAGCAGTCCTTATGTAAAATAACCTTATTCTATACAGTATAAGCCTTTGACTGCCGACAGAAAACTGTTGAAGGCAAATCCTCCGCTAACGGAGGTCACCGGTGACCCCCATGCCCCCATGGCGCTTAACGTTATAAGATTGTTTTAGGTTGAACAAGGTTTGTGTGACAAAAACATTTGAATCCACAACGGAAATATCGCGAAGCTAAAAGAGGAATCGCTATATAAAATAAAATATTTTTTAACACACTTCCTCATAAAATGGCTCTAATTCCACGGCAATTAGGCACGTACTGACACCTTAAATCAAAATGACTTAACATTACTATTATTCACAAGTGAGTAATAGTTTTCGCTAAAATTCTGTCCGCGAAAGGCCCAAATTAAAATGAAACATCATTTTTTAGTCTATGACCGATGCGCACAACTCGTCTCGTTTTCTCTTGTGAAGTTTTTTATATAAGTATTATTTTATTCAGAAGTGTGTTTAAAAACGTCGTATGATACGTGTCTATTGATGATTATCGACTTCGGCTTCTTAAGACTCTCGTCTCACGACTCGGGCCTCAATGCGCCTCTGCGGTAATCACTAACTTGTACCATAATGTGCTATTATTTTAATCAGTTCAATAAGGCACTGGTATGTGTTAGAAACTTTTCAACTTACAACTTGTGAATTAGCATTGATTTCCTGTAGTAACTTGGAGTGTGTAATGGTGTGAGGCTTGGAGTAAGGTTGTATGAGCTGTTTGAGCGCGGTCACCAGCTCCGCGCGACGTCTGCGGGCCGCCGCGCCCAGCCCCGTCGTGAGGATACCCACGTCGATTCGACCAGACGCGGGGTCCGTCGCCGACTGCTTTAGGGCTTCACGATGCAATCTGGTAGGAAGGATCGATAAATTATTACTTACATATTATTAGTATTTTAAGTGTTCGTCAAAAGTTTACATTAACTTTATCATCGTATAGCCTGTAAAAGCCCACTGTTGAGCAAAGGCCTCCTCTCACATAGAGAAGGTGTGACCATGGTTGCTAAAAGATGGCACTTTAAGATGTAGTAAAAGTAAATCAGGTGCTATATCATGTACATGGATTTGGTCTGATTAAATGAACAGGATTTTAGTAGGCTGGGGTATTTATTGAAATATGTAATGAAAAACTTTGTAAGTATATCTTATATACAAAAATGGATCGCAAAATAGTTGTACATAAAACTAGGGTGTAAAATTTTGTGTATTTTTAAAAGTTAAATTTGTAATATTTTACAGTCAAAATAAATATTTCCTGTATTATTTATTACCTTGTGGCTTCATCAACATCCAATATTTCGACGACGGGAGACAATCGCAGCCTGGCGTGTGCTTCAGCAAGTCGGATGAGAGACTCCAACTGCCGCGGGTACGCTGAGATTTGGCCACGGCCACTGCCCACACGTCTGACAAAACAAGATATTAACTTTTAGATTTTTGGAACTTCAAAAACTATTTAATGAAAAATCGACTCTACCTTTATAATATTATGGTCTAATCGGTTTAGGTGGTAACTAAAGGGAAACAATCTTGGTCTGTCTTTTTATACTTAAGCGTTCGTAAAAAATGCATATAAAGAATATTTTAATTACCTGATACCTGATTATAAACTTTAACACGCATTTATTAATTTTTAGATAAAAAACATGCCAAGATTGTTTTGAGGCGTATGTATGGTACTTTAGAATATAAATGCAATATTAAGCTGTTTAATTAATATTCTTTAGATTTTGGAGTGATTAAAGTAAGTTCAGTTGAGTTGGATGTCTTATTTAAATCACATTTTCAGTTTACATTTAGATAATTATCTAAATCCATAGACAATAGTAGGAAGCGACATTGTTTTTTTAGTACATTTTAGATGAATTAGTATTTAATATTACCTCATGTCAACGTAGGCGTCGATTAGCCTCTGTTGCGCTGTCTCGCTGAGTGTCGGCTGCACGTGTTCCTTCGCGAACGCTATGTAATCGCGCATCAACGACATTTCCTGCAATAAACAAAGTTATAAATATACTAATATTGTAAAGCTAAACAGTTTGTTTACTTGAGAATGCGCTAATCTGCGGAAGTTTGGTAGAATTGTACAACGATTTTGTTGGATAGACTATTTATTAACAAAGGTCAGAAATATAAAAAAAATATATCAAGTTTGCGACTAATAGGGGTAGCCGGTGAAATCAGATGTGAGTAGCTAGTAATATATGTATTAGTGTGGGAGAGCCATGGCTCGACCGGAGTGATACCACGGCCTCAATTAAAACCGGTGTGTGTTACTGGTGGCCCAATCCTTCCTCATTCCTAAATTCTCCAAATCCCTAATCCCCAAAAGGATGGCAACGCACTCGTAACTCCTCCGTTGCGGGTGTCCATGGGCGGCGCTGATTGCTTACCATCAGGTAATCCGTGCACTGAACTGTCCGACTTTGAAGTTCCAAGTCTTTTATTCATAATACAACTAAACTGTTTGTATAGTTTGCAAGATAATATATAGACTGAGCCATAGAGTGAACTATCGACTAAACGAGTTTATGCCCATGATTTTTTTTAACGGAAAAACCGGCTACCGGTCGGACCGATCATTTGAGGTCGTCGTCGCCCGTAAGTTAAGGTGCTCCTCATACATGAGGTTTCGGATCCAGGCAAGAGCCTTCTAATGCCCCTTATACCGAGTTATAAATACTTATGACTATTTAGACACCACTGACATACGGTAGAGGAAAAAAACCGTTAGCAAACCTGGACTTATAATTTCTAATTATAAGTTTGAAATCGTCAATTCGCCTTGAGCAAGCGTGGTGATTAATTCTCCTAGTGCAAAGAGGGCTTTACTTAGCAGTGGGTACTTATAGGATAATGTGTAATATTTTCTTTTCTTTTTTGCTTGACGTTCAAAAGTGCCCACTGTGGCCTAATTGAAATAAATGATTTTTGACTTTGACTTTTGTGATCACTTGATAGCAAGTAAGAGACGTGGCTCATGCACGCAAAACTAAAGTTACGAGTTGTGAGAAATAAGAAGCGTTGCCTATGTAGAGTACCTTTATAAACAACTAGCTACCATCCCACAGTTTCACCCGCTGCTCGGCACCTACATACCATAGCGTGATGTTTTATCTTCCTCGATAAATCGACTAACAAACACAGAAAGAATTGTTCAATTCGAACCAGCAGTTTCGGAGATTAGCGAGTTCAAACAAACAAACTCTACAACTTTAAAATATTAGTATAGATGAAATTCAAGACATAACTTACAATAATATCGTCCCCTTCCTGTGTGTTGGTGAAGTCCTTGTAGTACAGGGAAACGAGATGTGAAGCAAGGCGTCGGTCGAATACCTCGTCTTGTGGGTCCAGTATCAGGAATATCAGGTCAAACCTATAGGAATAATGAGAGAGTCAGAAACACACTTAAATATTTACTTTCTTCTTAATAAATACTTACAAATAAATGAAGACGATCGCCTCAAATGGATAAAGGAGAAACTGAACTGTATAGTTACTTGAATTTTGATTGTAATGATTTTCAAAGTTGAAACTGTACATTGAGGTAATTCTATGGTTTAAGCTAGCAAACATATAAAAATGTAAAAGAACAGCCGGGCTTGTTGTTTAAAATAAAATTAAGTCCTTTCTTCCATATTATAGTATATTTACAGTATTATTGTACATTATGTTTTTAAATGGTATAGTTCGGCAAACGAGCAGACGGATTACCTGATGGTAACCAATCAGCGCCGCCCATGGACAACTGCAACACCGTAGGAGTTGCGAGAGCGTTGCCGGCGTTTTAGGGAAACGGGTTTCGGATATTTAAGAATTGGGATGGTATGGGAGAGGGCATGGCTTGGGCCTTCGGTAACCTCACTCACATGGCTAAACACAACGCTGTGGTTGTTTCACGCCGATTTTCAGTGAGGTCGTGGTATCACTTCGGTCGAACCGACCCATTCGTGCCGAAGCTTAGCTCTCCCACACTTACTGTACTATTTCTGCTTCCATATGGGTTTGTCGTGGTGTTTCACCGATTAAACAGTTCCTCAATAATGTTCAACAGAAAATAACGGTTCTATGACCGGTTTAAACAAACCTGGACATCAATGTATGTGGTAGCTGTACATTCTCCACAATCGTCTTGTTTTTGTTCCACTGGGACTCTGCAGGGTTGGCAGCGGCCAGAATCGACGTGCGCGCGTTCAACTGACAGATGATACCCGCCTTCGCGATCGATAGTGTTTGTTGTTCCATTACCTGAACAAATAAATATGATTATTTATTCGTAAGAATAAAATGTTTTTTTTTTCTGTGAATGCATTGTATAATAGCATATCAATGGTTGGCAGTCGACGCGGTAACAACGTGTCGCAGATTTCATTCCCGCACAGAACGATTCCTTGGGTTATCTAAAAATTTTTGTTCCTGGTCTGGGTGTGATGTGTATATGACATTGTACGTTTGTAGACCCACAACACAGGAAAACATATTGTTGTGAGGCAATGTTTTTTTTTTTTAAAAAAAAAGCATTATTAATGTTACAAAATCAATACTTAAATAATTATCTTAAGTAAGACCCTATAGTGTGTATCTCGGTAGTGTTGCAATTTTTACCACAGAAAAAGGGCGAAAAAGTTGAACCTGTATGCTTTCTTATTAATACAATTATTAAAAGTATCGCGATTAGAATAACTTTACTTACTTCGTGCAACACGCTGCGTGTAGAATCATTCATCTTGTCGAATTCATCGATACAGCAAATACCGTTGTCTGCTAATACAAGTGCGCCACTATAACGAAAACAAGGAGTTGTTATAATAAAATTGACATTTTATCATTTGCTAAGAAATAAAAGAGACCCTCAATAAGGCTTATTTGAAATTAGGAAATAAGTTATACCTGAATCCTAATTATACAGAACACTAGTTTAACTATTCGGTAAAATAATAGGGCTAATATTTTTTTATTTCACGAAAATATCGAGCGACTACACAAAATAGTATAATTACTCTAAAAAATTGTATATGAAAATATGTATTGTAAAAAAACCACTAAATAGATTATAAAATGTTGTATCATGCCGTGCCGTTATACCAATTATAACAATTGAATACTAACGTCTGCAGTACAAGCTGTCGTGTATCAGGATCCTTGGTGACGTAAGCCGTGAGACCGACGGCAGAAGAGCCCCGGCCCGACGTGTATTGCGCGCGGGGGACCAGCCCGTGCACCCAGCGCAGCAGTTGCGACTTGCTCGTACCCGGGTCCCCGCAGAGCAGAATGTTTATTTCTGATCTGCAGATAGATAAGGAGATTCGAGTTGACAACAAAATATGTAGACTTTTGAATTTTGGACAAGATATAATACTGATTTAGGCCAACGTTTTTATTATAAAAAAATACTGGTAAACCCGCTTAAAAAAGAGGTGACACCGGAAGTATAGTCGACGACATTATAAACATTATAGGAAAAAAGAAATAAAAAATAGTATATTATTGGGAATTGATCCCCGTAGTTGTATTGTAACAGGCTTATCTAATAAAAATTAGGATTCGCAAAACGACTGACATTAAGTAATTGCTTATTAATTTAAGCATGATTGTGTACACCTTTAGGAAATAATTTTTTAATAATTTATTTTTGTGTACTATGCTGAAAAATATTAAACATATTGAAAATAACGATTTTGCTGTTAACTGAGAAAGCTTTCTCTCATTCTCTATCGTTGTGTTTCGCCGTGTGAGGGAGGAACCTAAAAGCCCAATCCCATCCCCTCCTCCCATTTCTTTCCAATCCTTAAATATCCGAAACCCTTATCCCTAAAAGGCCGGCAACGTACTCATAACCCTTTTGGTGTTGCAGGTGTCCATGGGCGGCGCTGATTGCTTACCATCAGGTAATCCGTATGCTAGTTTGCCGAAATACGCCAATAAAAAAAATTGTAGGTCGACAACACACTCCTTTAGTGTTGCGGATGTCCATTGGCGGCGCCGATTATTTACCGTCAGGAAATCCGTCTGCTCCTTTAGTGAACTAGTGAACTTATCCCATTAAAAAAAGAAGCTCAACTAAGTCACAACGGGACTTTAGCATGGGTGACTGACAGTCGACTGCGCAAAAATGTTATTTTTAATAAAATAGGGTATTATTATTATGTGTATTACCTGAAATGTGACCGTCCAGCGGCATTAAAGTTCTTCTTGGTGCCTCCCAACAACTGCAACAAGCATCCCTTCTTAATGTCCAAGTTCTCGTAGATGGAGGGAGCGATGGCCCGCGCCAATCGCTCGTAGCAATCCGGCTGAGCTGCCAACGCCTTGAACATTTCTATACGTTCTGGTGGGAAATGGTGCTCTTTTCTGTGGAATGAAATAAAAATTGGATACTTAGTAAGATTAAAACAAAGTTTGCTAGAAATTAGAATGGTGGTAGAAGATTACTTTTCATATAAATATAGCCGGAATGTTGTAAAATGTAAAGCTTCTTCTATACCTTAATACCATGAGGGCGATACGTTGGCAGTTAGTCTCGCTAAAGCTCGAAACTATTTTTTATATGCTATCACATAAAAAACAGTTTCGGCAAATGAGATGGATTACTATTAGTAAGATGGTTAATGATCGGGGCCGCCCATGGAAACCCAAGGAGTTACGTGTGCGTTGCCGGTCTTTTGGTGATTAGGGTATTGAAGATTGAGGGATTGGGGGAAGAAAAGATGGGCCTCTTTTTTAAATTGTCTTAAAATATATGATGGAGGTCGAAAAAGTTTTAAAGGGGAGGAAATATGAGTCGAGCGTTAAAAACGGATTTAATTACTGACCCGTCCTCAGTCTCGAGCAGCCTGTCGTTGTGCACCTTGCGGTAGTGCAGCGCATCGATATGCGTGCGATGCAGGGCCTTCAGCGTGGCCTTGCGCGGGTGCACGGTGGCCGGCGCGGCGCGGAACACGCCGGTCACGCTGACACGCTCGCCCGCCGCTACTGCTTCCACTAGCGCGCCGTGGGCTAACACGCTCACTGTAGCTGGTGTACGACCCGCTGGCATGTCGTCTGTGGGAGATTCGGCAGATTATAATGTCATGTCTATGTAACAGCAGTCTAGGGGGTTCTTATCTGTATGAGCACCACTGCCTCATGTTGAAGTCAACTAGAGAGGATCAAGAAACTTAATGACATACACAGTATTTAGAAATTTGTGAAATTCAAAACATTTAAAAGCACTTTCTTTTGCCAGACTAATTGCGCTTATGTCGACTTCATACAAGTTACCATTTGTATTATAACAATAAAGCAATTTTATTGGACGACCCATGCTTCGGCACGAATGGGTCGGCTCGACCGGAGTAATACCATAGCCTCACAGAAAACCATTGTGAAACAACCAGTATTGTGTTTCGCCGTGTCAATGATGTTACCGGAAGCCTAATTCTTCCCGTCACCTGATCCCTAAATCTCTAATCCCCAAAAGTTCAGCAATGCACTTGTAAGTTCTATTTTGTTGCAGGTGTCCATGGGCGGCGCTGATTGCTTTCTATAAGGTAATCAGTTTGGCCGTTTACCAACCTATCACGTAAAAAAAAGTGAACTCACCGGGTGACTCTTGCAGCTTAACAAGTTGTTTATCACTGAAGTGTGATCTGTTATGTATGAGTGTGTAGGAGTGCGCCGTGTTGCAGTGGCTACAGTGGGCGGGCTCAGGCACTCGTCCTCGCTCCAGCTCCGCGGTGGCGGCGGCACCGCAAACAGCGCAACGGAAGTACGCCTCGCGCATCTCCGGTACTATACTCGACGTACGGATCACCATGCCTGACAGTGTCACTAGCTGGTCGATATCTGCAAAAATATGTAGAAAGGTTTATTAAAATTTTTCTATTGATTTCGTTTCAATCAATTTTGTAAAGATTTTTATTTATTTATGCTTTATGGTATATAATGACATGAAGTTGGTACAAAAGATGGATTTAATGCGATATTGCATTCTCTACTAATCAACCTTTGGGTCAAGTAGAAAATTCAGCGAAAAATAGGTACGGAAAATGATCTAGTCCACTACTTACTATAGATCGAAGTGACTTCCTTTTTTTTATGCAGATTAACGATTATAGTATGGTTAATTACATAACACAACCCAAGAATAGTAAACAATTATTCAGAATCTATAAGGAAATTACACTTCTGACTGGTTTATTATTATTATTCTTAGGCACGAATGGGCTGGCCCAATCTGGATGATACCACGGCCTTAAAAAACCAGCGTGAAATAATGTTTGCGTTGTTTTGTACTGTATTAGTATGTTAGCGGTAGCTAGCCTATTTGAGAGATGATCTCCGGCCACCGTAAGCGCGGGTCTGCGGACGGCGAGTAAGGGTAGCTCGCCGCCCGACCAGAACCAGACCCGAGAGTACGGCGCGTAGCGTTCCGCGCGCGCCTCAAAGAGCCAACAGACCACCACAGACGGGGCCCTATAGGGCTGATGTTCAGCCGGTGTTGCGACGTAAGCGCAATGAGGCACCGCGACTTCGGCCCAGAGCAGGAGAAGGAACGGGGGGTATTTAGTCAGTAAGAGTCTGAGACTCCCAAATCATCAAATGACTTCTCCCGCCAAGGCCGGGCATGAGAAGTCATTTGATGATTTTCCCCTTACAAAAAAAAGTGGTAGCCTATTACTTCCCCCTTCCATCCCCAAAATGCCCCAATACCACGCAATAACCGCAAAAGGCCACAGACTAACTCCTCAATTATGCTTTTTTAGTTTTTCTTTTGAGACTAAAATGCAAATAGTTGGTTTAGGAACAGCAAATATGACTGACCTTCAGGGTTCAAGTCCCTCATGTGTCGCTGGGGCGCGTTGTAGGGCCGAACCTGTATCTGATGTTCCAGTACTGCGGCCGGGTAGCGCTCGAAGAACAACTCGTTCACCGCCGCGTCAAACGCTGGCACCACCTACATAAGAGAAGAGATAATTGAGATTAAAGCCTGCCTTTGCATTGCATTTGACTGCACAGATTCGAATCCCGCACAGAACAACTGATTGTGTGATCCACAAATTGTTGTTCCAGGTCTGGGTGTGGTGTGTATGTGAAATTGTATGTTTGTAATCGCTTCCACGACACAGAAGATAAACCTAGAGTAGGACAATGTTTATAAAAAATCACAACTTATTTTTATTTAAAAACATTTATGTGATTAGAGTAAGTAAGGAACTTAAAGTCTGTTAGGGACAATTTATGCTAACGTAATGAGGTAACGCATTGAAGCTTCATACCGTAAAGGACATTAAGTCTGAGTTCAATTTTTTCCTGAATTAGCGTCGTCACTCGGAATTCGACCTCATAGCCTGATCAATGTCAACCATCAAACAGACGTGTCAGTTAGGAGAGTTCACTGGCAAGTGATTAAATAACACTGCTCTTTATATCGTTTCATAAATGAAAAACTAGTTATTAAGAATTTGACGCTTAATGTTCTCTATCCTTGAAGAGAAGAAACTTAATTAAACAGAAAAAATATGAAGATCTTACCTCTTGTGGGTAGCACACAAGTTGCCGATGTAGTTTAGCATCAAACGCCTTAATATGTTCACAGTCGACATCTAAGAATGGCTCCTCTAATGTATTTATCTCTTCCAGCTTTTGTTCGTAAAGCGGCTCGTTGGTGACAGCGGTGGGCTCGACGAATCTTTGTATGAATTTGATGAACTTGTCTCTGCACTCCGCGATGGCTACGTCCGTACCCCATACTACCAGTTGAGGCTCACTCGATGGGGCTTCTGCTCCTGTGTCATCGACCTGAAAAAAATATCGTCATTTATCAATATCAATTAGATGAATGGTAACGGTCGATCGAAAGATCGGGCGGGAGGAAGCGAGATGGGGCAGCTTTTGCCCAGCAAAGGGACATTATAGGCTAGGAAAAAAAAATAGACGTCTTCTGCCGAAAATCATTTCTCATAGTGCTTTGCTATAATCTCAGTTCTTGGAAAGGCTTAGCAATTGGCTACTAAGTTTAGGAGTAGTCATACCTATAAGGTAAACACAGTGCGTACAGCTAGTATACCAAACTTGTATCGAAACACTCTAGAAAGATTGTTAGAAAATCCATCGAAAGGAATACAACCTTTTTCACATATAAAATAAATACTCTATAAGACACAACTGTCTTGTCATACAACATGAAATAAAAAGACAACTAAGCCGACAAGTTTCATTCAAAAAATGTTACTTTGGAAAAAGCTATAAAAAATCTAAAAGCAAATATGAAAAAATATCAAAAAAATAAATAAAAATTGACGGAAAGATGCGCGACTCCAAATGTGAGTCGCCGATCAAGCCGCGTGTATCCAATCCTGTATCTAAATGCGATTTCAAGTCGGCGACAAGCTTAGACGTGAAGGCGTCGTCAATTATAAGCAGTTGTAGGATCTGCCTGTCTTCGTTGTTAGATCCTGCGGTTTTGACGTGCGGTCACAGGTTTTGCGAGAAATGTTTGAACCAGTACTGGCGTATACGGGATAAGCCGGACTACATCGTGTGTCCGCTGTGTCGTGCCTGCGCTTTCAACGTGGATTTTGCTAAGGTATGAGATAAAATTGTAGGTTTGGCTGGTCAGGGATTTCGAAGAATGTCCTAGCTAACGTTGGGCATGTTCTGCGGTCTACGCGCGCCTCAAAGGGTTAATGAAGTCTATTGATATTGAATCTACGCCTGGTGGTCTATTGAATAGATCACCACAGATGGGGCCCTGCAGGGCTGATGTACAGCCGGGGTTGCGGGATAAGCGCAATGAGTCACCGCGGCCTGAGAGGAATCTCACCTCACCCTGTGTGGGAGAATTAATTTGATGATATTCCAAAAAAAATGGTCTTCAGTCAGCGTTTCCATTTCTATGTGCTAGAGCACACAATACCTTAGCCTATGTGTAGAAAATAAAAATAGGTTCAATAAATAAAATAGTATACAAAAATGTTAAATTATTCATAATAGGTATTCTTTTTTCTAAAAAGTTGGTATCCTTATTCTATATGAGGTTTTCACTCCTAAGGTCATATAAGAGTATTGATATTTAAAACATTATCTTTTCTTTTCAGAAAGAAGAAAGAGCATCAACAGAAGACTTCAGAAAAGTGTTCACAGAGATGTCAAATATCAATAATTATAATGTGAACAGTGCACTAATGTTATGTCTAGAGCTAAGCGTTCTTATGCCTGCACTCTATTGGCTGATGAAATGGCTCAAGCTGCCTTTCCTAAACCTAATTACCAACATACATAACAATTTGGCAAGTAGACTGTGAATATATTTGTACTGTTCATAATTTATATGGTGAATAAGCTATTATTGTAACAATGCTATTTCATGTTCCATAAATATGTTAGTTGTGTACATGTTAGTGCAATACTGAAACCAATTACAAACACATTTTTTAAAGAGCAGTTTTTTATTAAATACCTAGCCCTACCCGTGGCGTCGCTCCCGTCTCTCGCTCCCGTTGACTACCTGCTCTACTCTATGTACCCTACGCTACCTAACCTCCACTACCTACTCTATCCTATCCTATGTTCTTTTCCCAGTTCTTGAAGTGGCGTAACTAACACAACTTTCTTTTATATATATAAGATTTATTTTGAACAAACGTTTATAGTGTCCCTGGAACATTGAATTAAACTGAACATGAGCAAAGAGGTTGTCATTCTCTAAAATTTTAAAATATACATCCAGATATCTACTGTATTTATACAACTGATCAATCCTAAGTAATATTGATTAAATTGCAGCCAGTTTATATATTAAAAAAAAAAAACAATACTGGCTAAATTGAAATTTCTTCTTCTTCTTCGAGAACTAGCTACTCTCGCGCGGTTTCACCCGCTAGTCGGCTCCATTTGATCGTAGCGTGATGTTTTATAGCCTATAGTACTCAGGAACATTGTAGCTATCTATCAGTGAAAGAATTTTGGCAATCCAACCAGGGGTTCCAAAGATTACCCCCTACATACAAACTTACAAATTTTACCTCTTTATACGAGAATTAAGTACATCATTTTGACCAGACCATTGACATGGTTGCTGGGTAATCAGTGGCTGCACAGCATCTTGCTGGTTTGATTCCTTCACAGAACAAGTCTGTGTGATTCACAAATTGTTCCTGCACTTACTTGAAATTGTATGTTTGTAACCAAATCCATGACACAAATGAAAAACCATCTGTGGGGCAACATTTTCAAAAACATAATGCACACATAGATAAATTTTGGTACTGTCATCAAATTATTTAACATAATGGCTTTTCGAATCTGACATATATTTATAAATATTCATAGTAAGAAATTTTTCAGTTGTCTTATACAGTAAGATGACTTACCCTTCTGGTAGGTGTAGGAGCTGGTACACTTCTACCATGCTGGCCACTCTTTAGATCAGCTCTTTGCCTGGCGGGAGTCATAGCCCCTCGCAAATTAGATCGAGGGGTGCTCAAAGAACTTGGTGTGCCATAGTTAAGTGGAGAACTCATATCTATGTCAGTGCCTGAAAATACAACATTTTCAACATTATATTCAGTATGTGTGAAGAAAAATATTTTAACTGCTTCACAATTTCTTTTGTTTATATAATTCAAATGAATCATAAAAAATCTATTTTGTAAAGGAGTTGCACAAACTCATTCACATAATTTTTTATGTGATGGGTTGGTAGAGAGTATGAAGGTAAGCAATAGGCTCCGCCCATAGATACCCACAATACAAAAGGAGTTACGAGTGAATTGCTTTTTGAGAATTAGGGTTTCGGAGATTTAAATTTTGTGATATGACAGGGAGAGAGGATACAGTGCTGTGGTTGTTTCAAGTAGGTTTTTCTGTGAGGCTGTGGTGTCACTTGAGCCGGGCTATTTGTGCTGAAGCTTGGCTCTCCCACATTTAAATTTCATCTCATCAGAATAATAGAATGGATGGGAGAGAGGACACTAGTGCCCTCTTAGGAGTTGAGTGATGGTAATGTGTAGAGGCAATGACATCACAAAGGATGTGCCTGCTTACACACATTTTGAATAAGATTCTAATTTGAAAATATATAGGTAGGTATACAAGCTATTGCTTACCCAGTGGACTGGATGCCATGGCACGAGCTGGTGATGTGCCCGGTGCTTGGCCGCCAGGGGTGCGCGGTGACCTTCTAGGAGTACCAGGCGTCTGAGGAGTTCCCCGTGGAGTGCCAGGAGTGCCATCTGGAAAGTAATTAATATTACTTTTATTAACTTTACTAAGTAGTTGGTGTTAGTACGAAAAAGAAAAAATACGGAAGTAAAATGCAATACAGTGATTCAAAGTAATAAATTGGGATCTAAACAACAATGATTATACATTTTTATCTAGATTCATAATGATATAACGTACTTTTCGACGGGGTGCCGGTAGAACGCTGTGGGGTTTCAGGTACAACAAGTTGTTGCGATGATCTCGTTCTTCGCGATGGCGTTGAGGCATCGGATGATGCCTGTGAAGACGGCCGCTTAGATGGAGTCGACATTTTATTTGTTTTCCTCTTTTCACTTAACTAAACGAAGTTATTTAATTATTTTGTAAACACTAAACAATGACGGCGTTCTCACATTAGGTTACTTTCCATTTGGCGCGAAAATGTGACACTGTCTGTCATTAATTCCGCACTGGCCGCAATGGTTGATACTTTTTAGTAACGTTACTAAATAGACACATTGATATTGTTTTGTGAGCCGATTTTAATGAGTGTGTTTGAAAATATTTTTCAGCATTTTTACATTTTAGTTATAAGTAAATAGTAAAAATAGTGAAAAGTATTTTGTAAAAAGAGTCACAAGTATGAATAAGTAATAGTCGACTATAAAATCTATGTCTATGAATTATAGACATCTCTATTGTTGTCAAGTTTCCATAAACAAGTGAGTTATCTTTTTTAAATCAATTGATCGTTCATTCACCGCTGATGTTTTTACGGTGTTATTTTATGATAATAAATAAATATAAACGATAATTGCGAAATAAAAGCGATTGTAATGCTCAGCAGTATTTAAAACTAGTGCAATAAAATTATCTGAATCAATGTTCTATGCTAAAATATTGATTGGCGTTGTAAAACCTATCTTTGTGCAATCTACCTGCATTGTAGAAAATATTTTCGTGAATAATTATCTTTGACGGGACAAATAAGTTTTAAATGGACAATGTTTAGCGTATACGCATTAGTGCGTAGTATGCATGTTTACTAGTGATTCAGCAGTTCTCCCACAAGGGCCGAAGATATTTTGGTAAGTGTCGGTAGGTACCGCGATGAATCATTTTATCTCTGTGCATTTCCATTGTAAGGTCCTGGATACGCTGCTAACGATTAATATTTAATTAGATTGGGAATTTGTGCCGAGTATCCACTGTAACATTACATACATATTATTTTTTATCCACAATGAAATGGTTTTTGATGCCTTCCATTTTTTTTTAATTTCATAATAAATACAATAATATAGGGTAAGAATGAAGTTCAGAAGATTTTCTAGCTTACCATTTTTGCAAATACAAGCATCTAAACTAAGGTGCTAACTCTGGAAGTAGAGATTTATAGTGGAAAATGCAAAAATAAAAATGTATGTTATTGTTTATGAAAGTTAATACTTACCTGGAATAATTGCTTAAGTACATCAATAATTATAAAAGCTACTTAATTGTTGTTAAGTATAATCAAGGGTTACATAGAATCCATAGTAATGGCCTTTTCACTTTCCCTCTTCAAAGTTCAAGGTAGAGTAACATTATTGATCTTGAGTGACTTGACTTTTGAGCCATTTTTCTAAATAAATAAAAGCTAGTCTTGTAGTCTTTGATTACTAAATAATACTTGTTCTCTTTTTAAATTTGTCCCGCTATTCCTATTTTAAATTCCTGTTTATTTTGATTCTTATTGGTTTCTAATATATAAAAATGCAACAATGAAATGAATACCCCATTTTTTGAATATGTATACTGGTTTTTCTTTTATGTTAAGATACCCCTTGGTTGAAAAATGAGTGACTTTTTTATAATTCATACATGTCATGTTTGCATGTTGTGCCATTGAGGTGAGAGGTCAATGACCTAAGCTGCAGTCAATGGACAATTTTTTTTATAACAGACACATGACAAGTTTTTACATTCTTAGTTTAAAAACATAAAATAAATCTCCATCTTGTATGTGAAGTATGAATTACAGTTTTCATACTAAATATTTATATTTGTTTAAGTAGATAAAAAATATCTTTATGTAATTTTCTTATGATAGAATTTTATACTTAGTATTATAAGTCTACTGATTCATAGTAAATAATACTAAGCATAGACAATTAAAATTAATTTATTAATATCTTGACTTTGGTAGGTATTCAGAAAAATGTATAAGTACCTAGGTGAGTACCTATATAACTTTTAAAATACAATAACATAATAAAGAATTTAAGATTCATGTATGCTGTGACCATAAATTGGCTTACAAGTGAATCAATGACCTCACTGGGTCAATGCAAGGTCTTTGGGGACTATTGCATTATAATATTAAATTATAATATTAGTTGACTCATACAGTCCTTACTGTATGAGTCAACTAATATTATAATTTAAATGTTATGAAATCTTCTTTGAAAGAGACTCGAAACATTTCTTTTGCTATTTCGTTCCCAGCAGGATTTATTAAGTTCAACTTAAGTGGGTAAGTTGAACTTAATAAATCCTGCTTTATTATGAATTGAAAAAAGTTTTAGGCAATGATGTTGTTATCATAGTTAATAACCAGGGCTCATATTTTTCTTTACATTCTTTGTTCTGTAATCAAAATTTTTTTTTTATATCATATTAGGAAAAAACAATTCTGTTCATAAAAAAAAAATCGTAAGATCTTGCTCCAAAGCGAAAACATTTGAACAAAAAAGGGAGCATCTACCAAGTGCTGATTAAGGAAAACTATTGATTTCTGTAGCCGTGTAAGGGGGCATATTTCTCGTAATCTCAAGCAAGGTAATCCTGCCTACCCTTCGGGATTCGAGATCGCATGCGCCAAGCGCTGTTCACCCCTCAAGCGGGTTGACGGGCTCCGCAATTATATGTATATAAACATAACTATACCCGGCGTACTACGCGTTACGCACTACGCACCTACATACATACCTATACCTTGACTTAGAACACCGTAAGGACGCACATCGTTGTATGTTTACGTTTTCGACGTTAGAAAACGATTGGTTGTTAGCTCTAGTTTCCGCAGTTTTAGAAACGAAAGTATTTGGGATATATCAGCTGCTACTCGTCCCACGTTTCTCGAAAAATCTATAAGCGGAAGGTTCCTAAGATACGCAGTGGCGTTCGTCACCCCTCTAATTTTATCTATGCGAGATGCTTTTACTTTACATTATTTATGAATCTGAAGTATCAAAGCTTTGATTCAGCTTTGGCAGTTAAACAAAACCTTTGTTTGATCTTTTATAAAGATAACAGTACGCTGTCGCGTCACTGAATTTGGTCTTCGAACAGAACTAGTAAAGAAATGTTGCTACAAAGCATTCATAGAAAATAGGGGGGCATATTACCGAAGTGTCGTGTAAGCGTGTGTGTACTGTTCGACTAAAAATCAATATTACTTAGGGCGCAGTAATTTTTTGACGTTTCTGGCAACACATGATGCATCACTAATGGTACTGTTGACCCTTCTAATTAAGCTGAATGCGTGCGAGTGCATGGAAATAGTTAACGTAGGTTACGTAGGTACAAATGGACAAACACGAAACCTTAGCCGCCATAGAGAAACCTTATTTAGACGTGAACTCTGCCTTTTCAAGTAGTTAACTTGAAAACAATGTTTAACTTCAACAAAAGATTGTTTCGTTTGAATACTTTGAAACCGTAAAGGTTTTCTAGAAAACATTAGATAATGTTTTTCAAATGAAAATAGTTGTTTAACCTTGTTTTTCAGAAGTCTGGTAACACTGTTGTCTATTTGCATTATTAATTATACAAACAATTCCTAAACGGAATCTTATAAACAATAATACGGTAGTTTCCAACTAGTCAAATTCAATACTTTTATCCAAACGTCAAAAACGGTACTTTTCTATGAAAATTGTATGAAAACTGAGTTATGACGTCATAACATTTTTGCATCAAATAGCTTACATAGGTATATCTTAATAATTTAAAACTTAGTGTATCAATCGATGAATAAAAGTATAGTTATTTTTCAATATTTTATTGTAAGTATTGAAACATCGAATTAATTTATTTTTGACCTAGGAAACTACCAAATTGTCTATCCTTTTAAATTATCAAAAAGCACGTTACTTCTAACAATTAGTTGTTACTATAAATCGACTCTTCACCCAGATAGAATAGAATCGTGTAAGAGTTCTAAAATGCCACATGACACAAAAAGAACTTACTAGGAATGATAAAAGCAGCAGAAAAATGCTGGAGGATAAAATATATAAATAGCTTAATAGTTCTGACCTCAACCTTGTTGGAGAAAAGCCACGAGATAACTAGATCCAAGGATCAATGATTGTATTAGCTGCTTCATCTTCGCGTGTACCTAAGAATATACATATCTACGTGTGGTGACAAGTTCAAGAAAGCTCTATACGCGTGATACATTTTTTCTGTATGATAAAAATGAAAAATTTGTGATATCAAGCATGATTGTCTAATTTCTTAATAAGCCGAGTCATGCTTTGATTTTTGTATTATGACATCAGATAGGTATTTTGATTTTGATTTAATTTTATCGCCAAATCTTAACGTCTTCATTTTGGTATTGGCCATTCGTCTAGAACCAAAAAATGACAAATTGCAATAGACTAATTCGCTAGGATTTACATAATATTGTTAATGGTGTACAACTAAAGGGTATTTAGCTTATAGCAATTAGTTAACGGAAAGTAATAGGATACTTTCAAATGATTGTATAAACATAATTTCCAATTACTAATTAATTACCTACATTTGGTAATTTAGAAAAAAATGTATTATCATTATCATTAACATAATTACAGTCTAGCTTTTAGAGATGACACCATTTCGGTCGAAAAATACCTTAACTGAAGAAGTTCTATGTAGTATTTATTCGGCCATATTATAGAAATGTTATGCTACGCTCTGTTCAATAGACTAATTTGTCTATAATTTGACCATTTATAGCCAAATTGCGGCTATACAAAAATAAATACAGTCTTCTTCTCCAGAATATTCCGTTTCGATATTATTAGTACATAGGCGAATTCAACGATAAGATTGGAATGGCCTTTCGTGTTTTACGACGCTCCTTGGCCATGCTATGACGTTTTAGGGTAGGACCAGTCACTCAGTTTATTCCATTTTTCAAGCTCAACATTATAAAAGTCATTGAAAGGATTCTGGGTAAACCAGAACATTTTTCAAGGACTGTTTTGTGAAACTTCACAAAAAGAATTCGTAGAAAAACTTCGAAACTTTGAAGGTCAACGTAAGGTTGCCTTTAATTGGGACAGAAACGTACAAAAGAGTTAGTAACACGGTTTGTTGAAAAAATTTCTTGAAGTCACAATTTAGCAAATCCATATCTACAAAATTAACTCAATAAGTATTAGCTCCACAAAGCTAGATTCTTTTTCCTTTTGTCGATCTATAAGTTTTTGAGAATGGCCGTAAGTGAATAGCATGTAGTCTAAAAATTT